TTTGTGTAGAGCAAAGAGCACTGGCCAGGAGTCAGGAAGCCCAGGTTCACTAGTGCCTGATCATCTTCATCTGTCAGATGAGATCATAATTCTGGCTGGGCTACCCTTAGTAGGGTGCACCGAAGGTCAAGAAAGAGAGTACAGCAGGATACAAAAGCATGCTATACAAATGCAAGGAATGCTAAGGTTTTGATGTGTGGTACTCTTAAACATTAACATTTTATAGATTAGCAAACCAAGGTTTAGAGAGATGAAATGACTTGAGGTCATAGTTACTGGCAAGTCTGAAAATATCTGAGCATAATCATGCTAGGATCAGAAGGAAAGTATTTTGCCTACATTGGGATTTGAAGATCTAAGTTCTCTTAACTCCTGGGTTTGTTTTATATTTGTTCATAAATAATCAACTTGACATCAAGTCAGGAAGTTAATTTGTAGAGAGGTGAATCTCAAGAGAAAAAGAGAGAGTTCATGACATAAGAAATACACCTGGCCACTAAAAATGTAGGGGAAAAGTTAAGCATTTCTAATAAATAAGTAAATAAGAAGTAGTCTTCAAGATGCCATCTTCAATTACAAATTTGGCAAAGATATTTTTAAAATAAGATTATTTTACTGTTGGCAAGTGTGCTGGAGAACTGGCATTCTTACACATTGCTGGTGGTAGTATAAAGTGATCTAACTTTTTTCTAGAGCAGTTTAAAAATATGCATCACAGCCCAAAATTGGTTTGTACCCTTCAATCCAGGAATTCTCCCTTCTAGAAAATTATATCAAGGAAAGTATTACAAATATGCACATGACTGTTCATTGCAGTGTGATTTATGTCTAATTGTTACAATATATCCATTCAATGGAATAGTATACAACAATGATTACAGCTAACATTTATTGAGCAGTGTACTATTTCCAGACAGTATGCTAAGTTATTTAAATACTTTACTAACTTTAGTCATTAGAAAAATGCTATGAGAAAAGTATTTTTGTCATCCCCCTTTTGCAGATGAGGACATTGAAGTTCAGACAGGTTAAATTGCCCCAAGCCATACCGTTAATGGGTTGAGTACTATGAATTTGACTCTAGGTCTGTCTGATGCCAAAGCCCATGGCCTCAACCATAGCACAATACCACCTTTGCTGCCATGAGAAAATCATGTTTTAGACGAATATTTAGTGACATTCTAGAATGATCATGATATAAATGGCAAATGAGTTTTGCAACAGGCTGAATGGATCTGGAAAGCATTATGCTAAGTGAAATAAGCCAGGTGGTGAAAGACAAATACCATATGATCTCACCTATAAGTGGAACCTAATCAACAAAACAAAGAAGCATGCAAAATATAACTGACATTGAAATTAAGAACAAACTGACAGTAACCAGAAGGGAGGTGGGAGAGGATAATGGAGGGGGGGGGAGCGGTAAGGATTTTCAGGAACATCCATAAAGGACACATGAACAAAACCAAAGAGGGGAGGATCGAGGGTGGGAAGTGGAGATAGCTGGGGTGGGGGGCAGTGGTGGGTGGAAAATTGAGACAACTGTACTTGAACAACCATAAAAATGTAAAAAAAATGGCAAAAAAGAAAAGCTTGATACAGAAGTCTACATATATATGAGTACATATCATGATGACAATTTGACTTTTAAGGTATGTACATATTTTTCATATAAAAATATGTAAGACTTCATACCTGCTAGTAACAGTTATATCTTGGTAACAGTATTATAAGTTAGTTTTATTTGCATCCTTATGATTTTTTTGTGTTTTCCAATTTTTCTATAAAGAATATATATTACTCATGTAACTGGAAAAAATAAAAATGTTAGTATAAAAAGAGGTGTGAAAGTAAGCCTTTTGTAGCTTCATTCTTATAACACATTCATAGGAAGCCACATTTTCTTCTTTTTTTTTTTGTAAAAGATTTTATTTATTTATCTTGAGAGAGAGGGGAAGGGAGCCCAAAGAGGGAGAAAAACCTCTGTGTGCAACAGATATGTCGATCAGTTGCCTCTCACATGCCCCCGACTGGGGACCTGGCCCAAAACCCAGGCATGTGTCTTGGCCAGAATTAAACTGGCAAGCCTTCGGTTTGCAGGAAAACACCCCACCTTCTGAACCACACCAGTCAGGGTGAGAACCACCTTTTCAGCCATTCTTCAGGGAATCTCTTTGGGGATGAGGAGCTGTGTAGCTGTGTAATGTCCAGGGAATTTGACTATTAGAAATTGTCCATAAATTTTTTCACCTTCATGATCTGTGATAGTTCCCATTGTTTGGACCATGGGCCCCTGAGGTGGAGGGATAGGTACTTCATTGAAGGAGTCTACAGATTTTTAAATGGGTGTTTTTCTCACTCTTTATGTATTAAAAATATAGCTACTATTGTAGGTATAAGTGGGTGAAGTGAGACATATATATACGTTTTATCTCAAGAAGGCATCCTTCTGCCCTGGCCAGTATGACTCAGAAGATTTAGTGCTGGCCTGTAAGCTAAAAGGTTGCCAGTTCAATTCCCAGTCAGGGCACATGCTTGGGTTGCGGGCCAGGTCCCCAGTTGTGGATGTGTGAGAGGCAACTGATGCATCTCTTGCACATTGATATTTCTCTTCCTCTCTTTCTCCATTCCCCTTTCTCTAAAAATAAATAAATAAATGATTTTAAAAAGGGGTTTCTCCTTATACCTAAAGTGTTGGTTACTGCTGAAATAGAGACTAAAAATACTGTTTAATTATCAGCATTAGGAATTAAGGATGCTCACTTTCTGCCCTTTGGATTAGAGTTTGTATGTCTTTGCCCAGCACTAAAAGATGTAATTTTTTTTATCATTTGCAAGCACTGTCTTTGCTACCCATTCCCATCACATTGGTGTATATTTACTAACCTGTCAATTGGTTTAAACATCTAACTTCTTCATTCATATCTTCCTTTTCTAAGCTTAGCTTCTAACATCTAAAGCTGACTATGTCTCAAGCATAGCTTATAGTGGAGCACTGCCCTCACCCCCTACCACACCAAATTTGCTCCTTCTCCTGTCTTCTCTCTCTTACTATTGGTGACATTATCCACCCAGCTCCCAAATTAGAAAATTTTGACTCCTTCACTTCCTCACTCTTTAATTTGCATCCAGTCGATCACGGAGTCCAATATACTTTGCCTCTTCAGTGTATCTCAAAGCCATGCTATCTGCTCCATCCTTACCAAAACTGCCTGCGTATTATAACAGCTCTCGATGGATGTTTTTCCCTGGGAAAATCACTTCACAAGGCAGGCAGAGGGCTCTTTCTAAAATGCAAATCTGGTCATATCATTACCTGGCTTAAAGTCTTCAGTGCCTCCTGTTGGCTACAAGAGAAAGCCTAGAGTCCTCTGGTTGTCATTCAAGACATGACCCAGTCTGGCCACAACCTCATTTTCCAACCTCATCTGCTACTTCCCAGAGGGCACCTACCTTATACTCTGGTCACATCATACAATTTATTTTCATTCTGTTTGGAGTATTATTTTTTGTTTTGTCTTCTTTAATGACAAACTGCTTTCTGTTTCATGACTCACCTCAAGTATATTTCCTCTAGAGATACTGTTCCTGACTTGACCAAGTGGAACTCACCTCATCTATCCCTTCACTCCATTCCATCAATACTTCTATTATTGATGCAGATAACACTTTATGGCCTGATTTTACCCATATCTTTTCTCCCTGTATGTGAACTTCTTAGGGGCAGGCACCATTGTCTTTTTCATTTCTGTGCCTCCTAAATTCTAGACATATTGAACCTATTGTTCTCTGAACATGCTAAGATTTTTTGTGACATCCACCTTTGCACAGGTAGATCTCTCTGCTGGGAATGCTGTTATCCCTTTCTGTGCAAAGGCAAACATCTACTTGTCCTTCAAGACTCACCTCATGGATAGACCTAGAGGGTATTATGTTAAGTTAAATAAGCCAGTCAGAGAAAGACAAATACTATCTGATTTCACTCATATGTGGAAATTAATGAACAAAATAAACTAACAAATAAAATAGAAACAAACTCATAGATATAGAAAACATACTGACAGCTGTCAGAGGTGAGAGGGGTTGGGAGGCTGGGTGAAAAGGTGAAGGGACAAAGGGAAAAAACTCATAGATACAGACAACAGTATGATGTTTACCAGAGGTAAAGGGAGGTGAGGGAGGTAGAAGAGGGTAAATCAGGGATAAATGGTGATGGAAGGAGACTTGACTTTGGGTGGTGAACATACAATACAATATACAGATGATGTATTATAGACCTGTACACTTGAAACCTATATAATTTTATTAACCAGTATCACCCTAATAAATTCCATAAAAATATTTTTTAAAAATAAGACTCACCTCATCACTTCTCAGCCTTTTGGCTAAGGTCAAATGTAGTATCTGTTCATATCAGTTTAATACCTGATATGTCCTCTACCTGAGGACATTATATTAAATGAATTTTTGGAGCTGGGAGATGGAATAGGAGCTTGCTTCATCCACTCCATGCATCGACCTGGTATTGCAGTACTTCCGGGAACAGTGCACAAAAAACAAAAACAAAACATAAGACTCACCTCAAATGCAGTCTCTCTGAAATCTTTGCACATTCTTTGGTAGAGTTTGTTCTCCACTCTGTGCTTCCTTAGCCTTCTGGTCAAACTTTAATTATAGCATTTGCCACATAATAAGTTTATAATAATTATCACCTTATTTGACTGGACTGTTCCCCACTCTCATCCCTAGGTTGTGAGATCTCAGACCGCAAATCATCTTTATGTTTCTAGCACAAAGCATAATAGATAAACAATAAATACTTCCTTGATTAATAATGAAATAGTATTTTATGGTATATGTTTACATGGGAAAAACTACTGGGTAGGTCAGTAAGGTTTGAATATTTATTTACTAATTGATATAGGCACCTCTTGGTAAGTGCTGGGTTCATAGGCCTTTTATATGTCTTGACTCTAAATCTTCTCTTGATACCCTTCCAGGTATGGTGCTTATGCTCAATGTATGGTGCACTGCCCATCCTCATCCCTCATGAGACTTGGTTCTGATGTAACCTATAGTCATGCAGGGATGTCCTTATACCTTTCCATGATGTCATGAGTGGCGGGCAGCTGATCAGTTCCATCACAGCAGCAGCCTCCAAAGCACCTGCCCCCAGCTTCAGGTAAGAGGCTAATAGCAAAAGGAAGACCCATGGAGAGAATGTGAACACAAGCTCTATGTGTGTTCTTGTGGGTATCCATGCTTCCAAAGGCTCAGGGGCACGCTCCATATAAATGAAACCCCTTGGATAGCACAGAGCTTCTTTCTGGCCCATCCCTTGTCACTCGTGAAGCCTTTTATGGGGAGAATGGGGCAAGGAAGTGTATTGGACTGGGAAAGCCAAAGGGTGCACTGTAGTTGAGGGGGCAGGTTCCATGTTAACCTCCCAAGGAGGATTCCAGAAGAATATATTCTTACAGAGCATGGCCTAGGACAAGGCAGGACCTTCTTTTGCCTTGACTTCTCTGTGGTATACCTCATATTCTGTACCTGAAGAATGTTCTCTCTTCTTCCATTTGCTCCTCTCCACTTCCTAGTCTTACTTGAAGCTCCTGGCTTAGTTCCACTAAGAATCCCCAGAGCTTCACACCATCATCTCCTTGCTCACTCCTTTTCTAGGAGTGTAGTTGTGGTACTGTGTGTGCCTGCCTGTGTATATTGGTAGGTAGGCAGACAACATGTGAGGGACAGTAATCCAAAGAGGACAGCCAAAGAGACCTATAGGAAATTTGAGTGGACAAGGGAGAAGCATAAGCATATTTTGGCTTTCACTACAGTGCTTTGGGTTCAGAAGCCATGGGGGTTGAAAGATTACTATATCTCCCAGTTTTTCACAGGTGGGCCGCTGTGCCAAGTTGCTGCTGGGGTTTAAGCAGAAGCTGAATATATAGGGAGAAGGAAGGGAGGGAGAAAGGTGGCAGAGATGGAGAATGTGAGTAGTAGGGAGCCCATTTTGGGGGAGAGTAGTGAGGGAAAGTCAAGGTACAGAGAGGCATACGATCCATGTTTCTTCTGAGCTATTTTCCCCATATCTAACCAGAGAAAAGTGCTATTTTTAACATGTTCTCAAAGTCCCTATGGGACTTTCATAGGGTCAAGGGATTGAGAAACTTGGGCCCTTTCAAAATGGTTGCCCTGCTCATAGTCTGCCCCTTTCATAGTCACAGGGACCTACGGGCTTTATTTTGTGATTGAGAATGGTGAGACCAACCCTTTTCCTCTGCCAGTGCCCAGTTACTTATCTTCCTTTCTTCCCTATAGCCCTAACTTTGTCTTAAAGTTTCAAGATATGAGAAGAAAGACCTGTGAGGAGTGGAGATGAGAAGAAAACATCTTGGCCAGAAGTAGAAGGTCATTGATAGAGAAAGAAAACAATTACTGTTCTTATTTGCCTATTGTTTGCTTGGCTCTGTTATATGGACTTGTGAGTATAAGGGGGAACTAGGAGGGAACAACAGCATGAAAGAACATAGTAAGGGAGCTGAGTGGGTGGTTAAGAAACTAAGAAGAAGGCTAGAGGAAATGAAAGTCTAGCATGGGTAGAACCAGCTCATTGTGGGTGCTTCCTACAGAACCGAAAGAAGTTGGTTGTGGCTGGGTCACAAGTGGCCATTTCTAACTTGGGGGTGTTCCCAGTCCAGAAGAATCTACAAGACTGGCTTGAGTTCAATTATTCCAGCACAAGAAAAGCTGTGACCTGGAGCTAGAGCCACTCCTTGTTTCTTGGACTGCCATCCTTGCCATCCCCCATCCACCCGGTTGGCTCCAAACCAGACCCCGAGAAAGGGTCAGGCAGCTGTTCCAACTATTCCTGTAGGTGGTTCTCAGCATGGAAACTATGTGGAACTGTGGAAAGCCCAGAAGACTCTGTGGGAGATAAATGAAGATGAGAACAGAACCCTTTTTGGTAAACATGAAGTGTTTCCTTTAGTGCTGAGGTATGGGGTCCCAACTCGAGAATGTTAACTTTTTCCCAGGCAAGTCTTGCTAGAGAAGAGTGGCCACTTCCAGAAGGGACCTTGTCTGCCATGCCAGTGGCCCAGGGAATCATGGGAAAGGCACAGGAGCCTCCTTGGAACTAAATCCCTGCATAGAGCCACTGAGTTACATTTTCCCCTCTCCTCCCTCTGCAGAGGTCCAAGGGGATGTCCATAGACCATCCATTTTGCCCTGGTCTTAGAGTGTGGTGAGAGTCTGGGGGCCGTGGATATGACTTTCCCTCTACCCCTCTCTGCATCCCAAAGGCAGGGCAGAGTACCCTTGAGTTTTCACAGGAAGCTCAGATAAATCTGCTGCTGCCCAACAACCTGATCCTGTAGTCCCATGGCTCTATCCCCAGATATACCACACGTATCCCTCATTGCTTGAGGACACTGTCTTAGTCAAGGATAAGGCTTATTTCTAAGCCCATCCTTCTGCAAGGCCTTTGGAAAATTGCTTATCAGAGAGATTTGTCACCAAAGTGGTCTGATTCTTCCCTCCACCTCAGAGGAGGGGTGGGCCTGGAAGCAGAGTCAGTCCTTTGTGTCTTCCATAGCAAGGGAAAATAAGTCAGGAGAAGCTACCCTCTGTATGCCCCTCCTCATCACTGTGGAATGCCCAGTCCCACTCCTGCCAGCCTTGCCAGTCTGGGAGGGACCTCCTGTTTCCAGTGTGGCAGGCCCAGTTTGGAGCAAGCTGGAATTTACCAGGGACAAAGCTCTGATTCATCAGCTGAGCCCTGACATAGCCACCCCCTCCAGATTCTTGGGGGGTCAGTAAACAAACAGGGTAACAGCTCCCGCCTCCTGGCCTAACTCAGCTCTGCCTGCCCTCCCTGAGGGAGTCTTCTCAAAGCCTGTCGGGATTCTGACTATGGCTCACCGGGCACTGGGTCTGGATTTGTGCTGAGGAATAATAATGGAGCTGCCCAATCCTGCCATGGAATCCCCAGGCAGCACAGGTAGTGTCAGCTTCATGGGGATGCAGAGTGATTGAGTTGAGAGTTTTGCCCCAGAACCTGGCTGCTCCCTCATTTCCCTTTTAGTATGTGGTTGCAAGCTGTGGTTTTAATGGAATGATTGGTTTTCTAAACTGCCTGAAGATTCTTGTGTGGGGAAGAAGTTTTGTGTTGTGAGAAAGTCTTGAGGGGAAAGGGAAGCTAGACAGTCTTAACCACCAGCAGGACTGTGTTCTTTCCACAGAAGGCAAGCAGGTGGAGAGGCAGGTGGTGGGTTTCCCCAGGCTGGGGTGGAGAAGCTCAGCTGAGATTTCTTCCTCCACACTCCGACTCCCTCTGTCCCCAACTGCCCCCCATGGTTGGGTAGTCCTGGCATTGTGCTGGAGGTAGCTAATTTCTTAGGGCTATTTGGCATAGCACTATTCCCCCCAAACCCCACATTACCCCACAGGGCGAGCAAGTGATGAGCTGTGAGATTGAGTGGCCCAGGCAATATTTTGTCAGGTTCTATGACTGGTCCTCTTAGCTCTCCACTCTGGTCAGGATCACTTGGAGGTCAAGATCCAAAATGCTGCTTTAGCCCTTTCAAAATCATTGGAAGATAAACAGTGCTTTTAAGGAGAATTTCCAGGCTTCCTGACTGTGGTGGGAAATGTGGTTGGGGAAGAGGAAGAGGGCTAGCCACTGAGTATTTTTTTCCCCAGAGGCTGGGTAAAGTATGGGACCCTGAAATAGGAGCCTACAGCTTACCTTAAATGCAGTGGTTGCCAGTATTTGGGCAATTCTGAGCAGCTGTTACCTAATGCAAGGACATCCAGGATCACGTCTTAGCAGAATTTACAATAATAGGATAATACTGATAGTAGTCAGGAGTCATATGTGATCAACCTATACCAAGAATGGACCTTGAAATGAACAGAGTCACCAAACTGTCCTTTATCTTACCCACAAACATTCTGTAACAACCCTTCTCTGCCCTTGTTTACACCTGACCCATCCTTGTCTTCCTGTAGATCAGGGTGTGGCACACTCCAGGGATCACAGGATGTCTGTGTTTTTGTCCAGGTTAGAGCTGCTGCCACCTCCCCTGCACCTCCTTAGGATGGTGCTGGGGTTTTCTTCCTAAGCCCACAGTTGTTCAACGGGTCTGTTGGTGCCATTGGAACCCTGGAATCGTCAGCCATGAATCTGTGTTGGAACGAAATCAAGAAGAAGTCTCACAACCTCCGGTAAGTCCTGCTGCCTACAACACTGTCTTGAACAGTGTTGGACTCCTTTTGCTGCTACTCCCCTCATTCTCCCCTCAGCCTATGTATCACCCTCTCATCACCCTCACTGTCCCCCTTTCTCCCCTTTCCTTCTCTGGCATTGGGGAAAGAGCCCTGAGTCAGAAGTCAGGAGGCTTGGATTTTAGCCTCAGGTTTAAGTAGCTGTGTCACCTTGAATAAGTGGTTTGAGTTATCTGAATTTGAGCTTCCATTTGTTTGGGAAACATGGGTGTAGGAATAATACCTGTCCTTACTACCTCACAGTGTTGTGACAAGGATACAAATAAGATCTGAAAATATTAAATTTAAAGTCACTGATATACAAATGAGGGATATGATTACTCTTTCCTCCTCTTCTCATACTTGTTTTTCAGCTTGGTAGATCTCATCTGTTTTCTCTCTCATCCTTTCATCCTTCTATTCCCATCCATTGGTTATTAACCCACCTAGCACTCCACAAACTAAGGGCAAATTAGTAAGAGCTGAAAGACAATTTCTATATGTTTTCCTCCTTTCCCTACCCATGTGTGTATCCCCCACCCCACACTTTTCCACTTCCTATCATCAAAATCCAAACCCATAGCTTCTGGTGCACTCTGGTAGGGATGAGGCAGTGTGGAAAAGTTGAAAAATATAGGCTCTGGAATCAGATAAACCTAAGTTCAAATCATAATTCTGTCAGTGACTTAACTGTGTGACCTTGAGTAAGTTACTCAACCTCTCTGGGCAATAGTAGTGCCTGGGGAGTAAAATTGCTCTGAGAATTAATAGAAGCAAAAATTTAGGTAAACTGATTAGTCCAGGTGGTAGGGAGGCAATGAATTGTTATTCTTGTCAACTAAGGGGAATGGGCTTGATGGCTACACACGGTCTAAGCTGGCTTCCAGCTTCCTACCATTTGGACCTCAGTTCATGGTTCATTGTGGAGGGAGGCAGACAGAGATGATTATACAGTGAGTATGTTAAACCTTTGTTGCTATTATTCTTTGGGACCCTTGGAACTGTTATATTTGTATGCATCCTTGCACATGTGAGTTTTTTTTTTACATGTGAGTATCTTTATTCAACTACCTTACTTGTCCTTCCCATGTACTGCATCTTCTCCTGCTCAGAGGGCAGGCTCTGAGAAGCCTCTGTGGATGAGCAGTTTGACATGACTTGAGTTCCTCCGGGGCAAGAGGGCAAGAAGACAGCTGTAACCTCTAATACCCTTGCTCAGTTTTTTGCCCTTCCCAGCCTGAAGTGGGGCATATGACTTAATTAACTGATGTCCATAAGGTGACATGTTAAGCCACTTGAGTTTGGAACACCTCCCCACCAGTGGTCCTACCCATTGGTTTTAGCATTGAGCTCTGTGTGGAGGTATTGCTGTGGGTGGGTAAGAGGGAGGGGTTCTGGACCTCCTCCTACTTCAGCCAGGGTAATTTCCCTTTAATATGTTTTATATATTAATGTTCTCCATAAGTATTTATTTGGGAAAAATGTTTTTCCACTTAAAAATAAGACTGAAAACCACTGGTCTTACCCATTGTGTGCAGATCTCGCCTAGAGGCCTTCTCAGATCACAGTGGAAAGCTTCAGATCCCTCTCCAAGAGATTATTGACTGGCTCAGCCAAAAGGATGAGGAATTGTCAGCTCAGCTGCCCCTACAAGGGGATGTGGCCCTGGTGCAACAGGAGAAGGAGACACATGCGGTAGGTTAGAATTATGGAGGCCATCAATCAGAGAAAGATAAATACCAATATGATCTTACTTATGTGTGGACTCTAATGAACAAAATAAACTAACAAACAAAATAGACAAAGAGGCATGGATATATAGAACAGACTGACAGATCTCAGAGGAGAGGTGGAGGGAGGACTGGATGAAAAAAGGTGAAGAAGTTATTAAAGAACATATATGCATGACTCATGGTCACAGACAACAGTGTGAAGTCCAATGGGGAGTGAAGGGTGCTGGCTGGAGGTGAGCAAAGGGAAATAGGAGACATGTGTAATAGTCTCAACAATAAAAAAATGGCAATAAATATTGGGGAAAGTGTTAAACTGTAGAATAATAATAATAATAATAATAATAATAATAATAATAATAATTGTGGAGACCATGGTATGTGATCCTCAGTCAGGAAGGGATCTCTTCTGCAAAACCTGACAGAAGAACACCAGTCTCTGCTTAGACACTTAAAGTAACAGGAAGTTGCATGCAGTCCTAAAGATCTATGGATAGCACTCCACAAAGTCAAATCTTTTCTCTCTATTTCTTCCACCAAATATTAGCCTCTCTTAAAATCCTGCTCTGATTTGAAATAGAGCCATGGAAAATTAACATAATATAACATTAAATGAAAAAACAGAGGATACAAAACCATATATAGGTGAATCTCAATTATATAAAAATCTATATGGATGTTTATACATGTATACACACAGATGAAAACATAAGAAGGAACCATATAAAAATGTTCACAATGGTTAACAACTCTAGATTATGAAATTAGAATTCTTTTAAATTTTTTATACTTTTCTGAATTTGCTAAGATTTCTGTGACATACATTATCTCTATAATCAGAAAATAACAACAGAGATTTCTTAAAAACATATGCAAAATGCACTGGAAGAAGTGATAATTATGTAATATGAAAGAGATATTAGCCAACACCGCAATGGCAACATATTGCAATATACATGTATTAAATGAATATATTGTATACCTTAAACTTATACAATATTATATGGCAATTATATCTCAATTACAAATTCATACAGAATGGAATAAAATGCAGGAAGGAAATAAATAAATTATAATTGTGTGCCATAGCATAGATGAATTTTAAAAACAGCATGTGAATTAAAGAAAAAAAACATACAAAAAGAGGATATATTGTATGATTCCATTTATATAAATTCAAAAATAGAAAAACTAATCAGTGGTATTACAAAACAAAACAGTGGTTACCCACAGAGGGTGGGGGGATGGGGAAGATGAGATAGTGACCAGAAGAGGCAATGAGGGGGCCTTCTGAGATGCTAGTAAAGTTCTATTTCTTGATCTCAGTACTGGTTACAGAGATGGAATCACTTAATGGAAATTAATTGAGCTGTACACTTTTGATTTTTGTACTTTTCTCTATATTTCAACAAAAAAATTAATTAAAATCTTTACATAATCTGGCCCATTCTGGTTTTGATTTCTCTAAGACCCTTATAGGGGATTTTTGCGTGTTCTCGAGAACCAAGATTTCCACCCCCAAATCCTCATGATTTTCTCTACCCTGTGGCATAGAGAGACCCATTTCATACTACATAGATGGTCCATTGTTAAAGAGTTATTGTTTCTTCTGCTATAGGGAGGATTATACCTCTTTTTGTCTGGGTATCCCAAAGGTACATGATAATGCCAAAAGATCAAGTTTACACTGAGGAGAAGGAAGCCTGTAAATTGGGGGGGTTGAAAGACTTTCTATCCCTGTTGAATGTGTTGCTAAACTTCACAGGTCTTTATGGAAGATGTCAAGTCTCGGGGACCCTATATCTACTCTGTGCTGGAGTCAGCTCAGGCTTTCCTCTCCCAGCACCCATTTGAAGAATTAGAGGAGCCTTGTTTGGAGAGCAAAGGTAGGTGATCTTCCTCTCTTACCCCTTCTTGAACTACAAACCACTAACCACCTTCCTGCTTTACCCAAACTCATGTTCTCAGCTGTTATCTAGGAGGATAATTTTCTCCTAGGAGTCCAAAGTTGGGAGGAAAAAGATTCACACTGCAAGAAAAAGCAAAGAGAACAGAGCCTGGAGCAGGGTACACTGGCACATGGCCCAAAGCTGTATGCAGCTTGGAAGCGTCACTTGTGGTGTTCTAATGAGGCATGAAAAAGAAAAAACAATACACTCATATGCATTGATTGAACTGACTCAATGAATCAAAGTAGTAGTATGTCCTTTTAAAACATCCTGCTTGACACTGAAATAGAGAACAAGGGGATAGTGACCAGAGGGGAGAAGGAAGGGAAGTTAAGGGGAAAAAGGGGGAGGGATTTGGAGGAACAAATAGGAAGGACACAGGGACGAGAACTAAGGGGGGTAGAAATGGGAGGGAGGTGGGGAGCAAGGGGAGGGGGAGGCTGGGATGGGAAAAATAGACAAAAAACTGTACTTGAAAAATAACTAAATAAAATTTAAAAAAAAACAAAAAAAAAACCATCCTGCTTGATTCCAACATAGAGATCTGTAGCAGTACTCTAATAAACCAGCAAATAAAAGAAAAAACAACCCTTTTTAAAATCTAAAAAGTTAGGTAATGACATTTGAGAAGAAAATTGATTATGACTTTTTGATACTGACCCTAGTGACTTCCAGCCCCTTCCCTCAATGAGCGGGCCATTCTAGGTGTAGGTTTCTATTACGCAGCTGGGATCCATGGTGGTTAAGTGTGAATGGTTGCCTAGTAGCTCTCTTTTCCAGAAGAGTCAACTCTCTGAAATTGGCTGTGAATAGCATGGAAGGACCCTTCATTTTTTGAGCCCTTTGTCAGTGCTGTTGACCCTCTCATTTACCTTGAGCTCCTCAGTAGGAGTTTGGTACTTAATTTTTTGTCCAATGTGCTTCATATAGGACAAGCTTAAGTGAGACCAGGAGAGTTCCAATTAGCCTAGAGTTTTAGGACTTTAATTCTTATGGGAGGTCTGAGGGAGAAAGAGGAAACCTGCAGTTTAGGAATCTAGGTGGAAAAGTTAGGCAAGTTATACTAACCTCTCCTAGGTTGGTCCTTCAGGAAATGAATCCCTTCTTTAGATGGAAATAGGCAGCAGATACTGATGCAAACCACATTCCAGGTCTTGTGAATAGGACTCTGGATTATTTTCCTCATTGTGCTTCTTAAAATATTTTACTCACTATTTGCCTTGCCCATTTTTAAAGAATATGAGGAAATCCTCAAGACATAATAGACAGAAAACAAGAACATGATCTCTTGACTACAGTAGTGGATCCATGGACCTACACATGATAAAATCACATAGATCTAAATACACACACACACACACACACACACACAAGTATGAGTAAAACTGGGGAACTCTAAACAAATTGGTGGATTGCATCAATGTCAATATCCTGGTTGTGATAATATACTATAGTTTTTCAAGATGTTATCATTTGGGGAAACTGGGTAAAAGGTACATGAGATCCCTGTATAATTTCTTAAAACTGAATGTGAACCTATAATAATTTAACTTAAAATAAAAAGTTTAATTTTTTAAACACCTAAATGTGCAAAAGGATTTCCCCCATGGGAAAATATGCATTTGTATAAATATATGCACAAATGCATGCACATGCACACACACACATGCACATCTTACAAAGAGCTGTCTTTGTCTCTTTCTTTCCCTGGACTTCCCCTGCCTGGATGGCCACACCTGTTTTCCTACCTGCTCTTACAGATACCTCTCCCAGACAGCGGATTCAGAATGTTAGCCGCTTTGTGTGGAAGCAGGCGACAGTGGCCAGTGAACTATGGGAGAAGCTAACAGCCCGCTCTGTGGACCAGCACCGCCACATTGAGCGCACTCTGGAACAGCTATTGGAGATCCAAGGGGCAATGGAAGAATTAAGCACTACTCTGACTCAGGCTGAGGGAGTCCGAGCCACTTGGGAGCCCATTGGGGATCTGTTCATTGATTCACTCCCTGACCACATCCAGGCTCTTAAGGTATGCATGACCCCTCACCTGGCTACAGTCCACTCTGATGCCTGACACTCCTCCCTGACCCTGACAAATTTTCTGCTCCCAAGAGTTCATTATTGACCAGGACTACCAGTTTATGTGCTGTATTTCAGTGCTGCTTCAGCTGGTGTCTTCTCTGTCCTTCTACTGTCTTCTCTTTCTCTAGTGTTTTCTGAGGGTAATAAAAGAAGAGGATAAAGATAGTGGCCACTCACATCTTAGTCCTGCTGCCCTAATAGGCAAGCACCTAGGTTGTGCTGTCAAAACAAAATCTCTGAGTGAAGAGGGAAGAATCAAAATGAATGACTAATAGTTTCTTTTTTCTACTCTCTGTCCACTGTGGGACTTGTGCCCTGGTTCTAAAGCTATTCAAAGAAGAATTCTCCCCAATGAAAGATGGAGTGAAGTTGGTGAATGATCTGGCTCATCAGCTTGCCATTTCTGATGTGCACTTGTCAATGGAGAATTCCCAGGCCCTGGAGCAGATAAATATCCGGTGGAAACAGCTGCAGGTAGAGAAGTCTGGAGTGAGCCATGGGGAAGAGCCTCAATAAAACTAGGCTTGGGAGGAAATTCTCTAGGCTCAAAGGAAGTGGAGGGGCATTGAAATGGGATCTACATAGGAGAAGAATTGTAGAGAATTTGGGACCAAGGAACAGGCTTCTCAAACTCTAAGCTATGGAGAGTGCTTGAAATGAAGATCTGAGAGGGACCTGTCTATGGACATTTAGGGCACACAGGGACAGATAAAGAGTGACTGTGGCCTGGAATTGGGAATCTCTGACTCTTGGGAGTCCTGTGGGAGGGTTAGTAGTTAGGTGTTGGTGGGAGGAGCTGGAACCAGAGAAGAATCAGCCTGTGAGGGAGTTCACAGAGATTCTTGGAGACACCTGGAAATCCCACACTAAATATCTGGAATGAATCCACTGACTTCCTACCTGTTGTTTCCATAGGTGTCAGTTGGCGAGAGGCTTAAGCAGCTCCAGGATGCCCATAGGGACTTTGGGCCCGGGTCACAGCACTTCCTTTCCTGTATGTGAGACAAGTTGGACTTTACTTAGCAGAGCCTCCACTACCTTCCAGGAGAGTCTACTGTTGTCCCTTGGGGTCTAGTAAGAGTCCAGTATACCTTGGCGTTCCAGACACAGTAAGGTTAAAGTAGTAGAGTATAGTGATTAAAAGGACAAACTCCCCAATTAGAGAAACCTGGGTCTGAGTCACAGATCTTTCACTTAATAGCTGTGCAAGCTTGAAAAAAGAGCTTAGTCTTTCTGAACCTCAGTTTCTGTATACATAAAAAGAAGTAAAAATATTACCTAGCTCACAGGGTTATGGGAATTAAATTACTATTTTTTCAACAATATTTATTGAGGGTGGACTGTGGACCAGATACTCTTCTAGGCACTGGGGCAACATCAGTGAACAAAACAAAGTCTTTAGTCCTGTAGAGCTAATATTCTCTTGAGGGAAGCCAGACCATAAACAAATAAGAAAAAAGTATATGAGGTAAATTGGTGACAAGTGCTATGGAAAAAAGTAAAGCAGCTCAGGTGTGAATAGGAAGTGATAGACTTAAGGGGGTCAGGCATTGCAATTTTGAATAGTGGTCAGAAAAGACCTCACAGAGATCATGGAAATGGAGAGGAAGCCTCACGGAGGTGAGGGAGTGAGCCATGTGCATATCTGAGGGAAGAGCATACAAGGGAAAGGGAACAGCAACTTCCAGAACTTTCAGTCAGGGACATGCCTACTGACTAGCAAGGAGGCTGATATAGAAAAGAGCAAGGAAGGGAAGGGTCAGAGTGATGGCAACAGACTAGAGCACAGAGGGCCTTGTAGGTAAGAATAAGAATTTTGGATTTTATACTGACTAGAATGTAGAACCTTTGGAGGGGTTTGAGCAGAAGAATGACATGATCTGACTTATGTTTCAACAGAAGAGTCAGTGTTGGGGGTTGAGAGTGGGAACAGAGAGGCTTGTTAGCAAGCATATTTCAATAATCCAGGTGAGGAATTAAAGTGACTTAGATCAGGATGGTAGCAGTGGAAACAGTGACAATATACAGATCTGAAAATTAGATATATGCACAAAGCATTAAAAGAATATCTGACCCATAGTAGGAACTCAATAAATGTTAATGTCAGTTGGAACTATTGCTATTATGATAACTGACATGTAGTTATACCTGCAAAGGGCTCTTGTAAGAGAAATGGTAAGAGAAATGGCTAAGAGAAATGGTAATTAGGTTAGACAGGTAACTGAGCCTCTTCTGGAATATCCAGTAGGTAAAGACATGGAGCAGAGAGGGACATCCTTTAAAACAGGGGTCCCCAACCCCAGGCCATGGACCAGTACTGGTTTGTAGCCTGTTAGGAACTGGGCTACACAGCAAGGGGTGAGTGGCAGGCTAGCAAGTGAAGTTTTGCTAGCATTACCACCTGAGCTCTGCCCCTAATATCCTGTCTCCCCCCACTCCCATCCATGGAAAAATTATCGTTGAAACCAGTCCCTGGTGCCAAAAAGGTTGGGGATCTCTGCTTTGCAGAGTTTCTCACAATGTAGAAATGGGCAGTACCATTCCCCAATATCCCATAGGACTGAGTAGTTTGACTTCTTGGGGAAGGGCTTTGAGCCCCAGGAGAAATATATACTCCACTTCATAAACACAGCAGCACCCCAGCTACCTGGGGTGAATGGGTAGCTGAATGGGCAGAAATGCCAGCCTGATCAGGGAGAAGATTGTCAGGGTGGCTAAAGTCAGGTATTCCTGCTCATGACCTTGTCACATCTCTAGAATGCGAGGCTATCATTGACAACCTCTTCTCTTTCCATTGCCTTAAGATCAGGGAGAGAAGTACATACATTAGTTTTTGCCCAACCCTTAGGGGCTGTTAAGAACTGCCAGGGAGAGTCAGGCATCCCCTTCAGGGCTTGACCTCTACTTGGGAAGACAGAGCAGGGAAGTCTCTAGGAGCCTGAAGAGCATTAGTGACCAGCTTCTTCTTTCTCTTCTCTCTTACCAGCCTCTGTACAGGTTCCCTGGGAAAGAGCAATTTCACCCAATAAAGTTCCCTACTACATCAAGTGAGTGACTGTCTGAATCAGAAGTGGGTCAATCAACTGTTTACTCCCTCACTTACCTTTCTTTTTTTCTACCTGTCCCTGTCACTCCTTATCTGTTGGGATTCCTTCATATGGTCCAATTTTTCCCCCTACTCATCTCAAGAGTTCAAGATTCTACCTGGGTAAAGGTGAACCCTTGTGCTTTAGGATCTTCGGGGTTCACCCCTGGATCCTGCAGCTCCTCGCAACCAACCTATCACTGGATGGGGTGTACTTGTGTGAGGCGGGAAAGGGGTGTTGTGGTCCCTGGTGCTATTGATGTTTTTGTTTGTAGCCACCAGGCTCAGACCACATGCTGGGATCATCCCAAGATGACAGAGTTGTACCAAACCCTGGGTAAGAATGCAGAATTCCTGTATAGGGTGGATATTCAGCTGCCTTTGTTCTGTAAGAACAAAATGGAATCCCCATTCAACAAGCAGGTGGGGATGAAAGTGAGTGCCTTGTCCTTCCTCCAGCAGCCTCCTTTCATTTCCCCTCTGCACCTCCCTCACCTGGAGGTTCTACATTCCCCCTGGACCATTTTATCATTATATTAGGAAATTATGCTTATAGATGTGAACCAGATCTGCTTTGAGAAACACTGTCCAAGGTGTAATGAATGCGACTCTCATGTGCCATATTTTTGGATACTAACAGAGACTCACCATTAGGTTGCAAATTTTATCCATGTTGATGTATATGAATTTAGTTAATTTATTTTAACTGTTGTAGAGTGTTCCATTGTATATACTAGTTTCTCCATCCAGTCTACTACTGATAGGCATTTGAGTTGTTCCCAGTTTGGAGTTAATAAGAGCAGTGCTGCTGAAGAGCTCTTGTGAATGCCTTCTGATATACATGCACATGTTTTTCAGACTGCAGGTCCAACATTGTTTCAGTGTTATAAGCATTTTAAAAATTGAAATAGACCAGGAAATATGAAAGGAAGTACAACACATCTTTAGCAATATCATATTTGATATTAATTTTATGCTTTTAGTCTATCAAATCTAGATGGTATTGTTTCCTGAAATATTTGATTCAGTTATTTATACATACTCACATGAGTATGTGTTTATTTCACCATGATGTAAAGTGAATTTCTCATTTTGTCAGAAAACATTTGAAAATCACTGATCTGGTTATCTAATTGGCTGGGTTGTAGTATAGCTGGATGTTCAGTTTTACTAGGTAATACCATGGTGTGTTCCAAGGTGATTGTATCAGTTTATACTTCCACTAGCATCCACATCTTTACTGATACTTGCTATTGTCACTTTTATCTTTGCCAATCTAGTGGGTGTATAATGGTATGTTGTTGTGGTTTTAATGTGCATTTTTCTGATCTGAGTGGGCCTCTTTCCATTCTTTGCAGCTGATCTGAACAATATTAAGTTCTCAGCCTACCGCACTGCTATGAAGCTACGCAGAGTCCAGAAGGCACTGCGCTGTAAGTCTCCCATCACACTTCCCTTATGGCTTCCCCCCACTCCTTCTCTTCCTCTCTGTCAGCTGTTTCTCACTTTTATCCCACCTTGGCCAGGGTTGTTGATTGGCTTGGTGGGAACCCTCCAAAGGCTGGGATATGCTGGCTATGAACACCTGCTCTTTCCAGGGCCCTTCTGTTCTCCCCAAACTCCAAACTTGTTTGAAAATTAACCCACAGCCATCCTCTTCCTAATCCTTCTTTCCTGCCCAACATGGATAATCGAGCAACTGTTTTATGGCAGTAAGTATCCTAGCTTCTATAACCCCTTCTTGGGGTTATGGATGTAGCAGCAGATCTGTTGAAGGGTATGTCCATGGTTAGGGAACAACATGGCTACAAATATAATGTGCTTCCCACCCTTTCTCAGAAGCACTGTTTATTCAATGTTCCTGGCATGTCTGGTTAGTCTGCTTCCAACATTGAAGGTAGTTATAAAGCTTTGCTAAGGTATGTCACAGTTACTCAGACACATCTGAGCCTTAATAAGTAGTGACTAGGTTTTCAAAACAAGATCCATGGACAAACCTATTTGCAGTTGAAATATATATAGACAGAGAAAATCAAAATGGGATTTCTCCATTAAACAGTAAACAAAGGAGGTGAGTTTACTCACATCCCACCATCTTCTTGGAGCTTATGTCAAAGAACATATGGGTATAGAAACATTTTGGGTTAATTTAGGGGACCTTTTGCTGCTTTCCCTGCTCCTTGGCAAAGGACAAGCTTGTATCATACTTACAAATGGTTTGTCTGGAGATTGAGTAAAATTTGGTGAAGCTGGTGAATTTATCTCCTTGTCTAGAGCATGGGATTCTTCTTTTGGCTATATTTTCTCCCTCTCTCCTTTCTTTCTCAGTGGACCTGGTAACTTTAGCCACAGCCTTGGAGATCTTTAATGAGCATGATCTTCAGGCCAGTGAGCATGTGATGGACGTGGTGGAGGTCATTCACTGCCTGACTGCCTTATATGAACGGCTGGAGGAGGAAAGAGGCATCCTGGTCAACGTGCCACTCTGTGTGGACATGAGCCTCAACTGGCTCCTCAATGTATTTGATAGGTAAGGGCTTGCAGCCCTTGCAGCATCCAGGATGAAATTCAATAGGGCATCTGGAGTGGGCCTGGTAGGAAGGGATTGTTCCCATAGTGGACTTGGACCCAGCTCAGCTTGGGGCATGATTGTCACAGAGCCCTGCTGAGGCCAACTCTATAAGGGAAATGACTGCCAAGATGTTAACCCTTTACGCACATTTATGTTTTCAATATCTTCTTTTAAACCTAGTGGTCGCAGTGGAAAGATGCGGGCATTGTCCTTTAAGACTGGCATTGCATGCCTGTGTGGCACAGAAGTGAAGGAAAAATTGCAGTGTGAGTATAGCTTCAAAGTCTGGAAGTGGAGTAGGTGGAGGGAGAGGTGTGGTGGGAGGAGGGAGGGTATCAGACAAGCAGAAGTTAGGTCTTATGACTCAGAAGGGGGGCTAGTGAGGCTATCTTATGATACTTCCTGGTCTAGGCTATTGCAAAGAACCCACAATAGCCAAAGGCCAAGAAGGGCCTAAAGCTTGCTTTTATTCCCAGTGTCATTCCAGTGGGTTTGGTTTCTTCCAATCTGATGTGATTACTTTACCAGGATCTGCATTAGCATCCTGGGGTACCCAGAGTCCAGACTTTCTCATTCTATTTCCTTATGGCCTATCAGACCTAACCTTCTCCAGGGAGCTCAAGCCATGTCACATTTTCTACTGGAGACTTCCCATGTGATTACATGGGTAATGTGCAATAATCCCCATCACTGGAAGATGGGCAGTATGTAATTCTGTAGTTTTCAACATCTCTGGTGCATGGTGCCTATGCTTTCCCCTCCATCCTACATTTTTTGTACACCATTTTGTACTTTTCTACAGTAGTATCCTTAGTTGTTAAGTGCTTCCTGTGTGTTAATCACTGTGCTAAATGTGGTGAGTACTAGGTTCAATCAGACATAGTCCATGTCTCAAGTGGTTTAAAGTCCAGAGGAGGAGACAGAAGTACACAGAAAACAGTTTTTATAAAGTGTTAATTAGACTAATTAGAATGGCCAATGATATGTGCTATAGTCAGATCACAGAAGAGAAATGACAGTGGTCTGTCTGGGAAAACTTTACAGGGAAGGAAACATATCAAAGCATGTTCATAGCTATGTTGTTATTTACAAGGTTTGTCCAGAAAAAGTACAGCCATTGTTAATATAACAAGAACAGTTTGTGCAACATAGATGCAACCTGGCAGCCAAGGAGAGTGGACTAGAATGCACATGCTTGAACAATGACAACTTCACTGTACTAGTCAGTGGGGGTGGTAGATGCCATTGAGTGAGCATGTGTACTGTGTGGTCATTACATTCAAAATGACTAAACAAGTAGAGCAATGAATCTGAGTTAAATTTTGCATGCAGCTTGAACATTCCTATGAGGAAACTATTCAGATGATTCGGAAAGCTGCAGCTGTGGGCAATTGGTGATTGGCAGCTTCATCACAACAATGTGCCCATTCATGCATCCTTTCTCATGCAGTTTTTTGGTGAGACACCAAATCACCCAAGTGACGCAGCCCCCCTACAGCCCAGATTTGGTGCCCTGTGACTTCTGGTTTTTCCCAAAACTAAAATTACCTTTGAAAGGGAAGAGATTTCGACCATTGATGAGATTCAGGAAAATATGACAGGGCAGCTGATGGCAATTGGGAGAACTGTGTAAGGTCCCAAGGTGCCTACTTTGAAGGGGACTGAGGCATCATTGTCCTGTGTACAATGTTTCTTGTATCTTGTATCTTCTTCAATAAGTGTCTCTACTTTTCATATTACATGGCTGGATACCTTCTGGACAGACCTCATATTTCTGTCAACATTCCTTTGACATGGGGTGGACAATGATTATTTATCTTCAATTTACAAGTAAGGAAACTACAGCATAGAGAGGTTCATGACTTACATAAGGTTCTACAAGCTAGTCAGTAATGGATCCACTACTAAAACCCAGGCCCTCTGTCTTCCATATTTGTGTGTTTTCTGAGCCTTAGGTGAGGTATAAAGCACTCAGACAATAATCTCTGGAAAAGGTTTTCTAAGGTAGGAGTGTGGTGGGAGAGTTCCCACGAGGGCAGATATAGCCCATATTCAAATATAAGTAAGTACCACAGCCTATTTCACAATCACTTAGAGATAATTCTTAGATGATCAGATGCTTTTAATTATCTTCTCTTTTTTGGGCTATATGTGTCAGTTTATCTTTCCATTTGTGTGCATAATTGATAAAATACTATGGCATAAGATAGGAAGTGATAAGGCAGACTAACTGTGGCTCATATTCAGTTAACCCTAAATCTCACACCATTCATCTTCTTCTTGAGAATCTATTTTCCCAACAGTGTTTGGCCCTGCTCTCACATGCAGTTTTCTCTCTGTCTTCCTCTCTCTACCCTCTCTTTTTGATGTTCTCTCTCCCATGTTTGTCTCACTTTTTCTCTCTGAACTTAGAGAATGCTCTTTTTAGAATTCTTGGGCTTCTAGAAGGTCAGGGATTGTCCTATAGGTATTCCAGTTTCAAAAGTCATTAGCTAAATCTATGTGGTCTTTCCCTGTCTTCTTTTTTTGTTCTTTTTCCCTGTACCATTCTCTGGCCATTCCTGCATCGGGGTTGGTCATGACTTATGGTGGGGCCAGCAGACCTCTTCAGCCAAGTAGCCAACTCAGGCAGCCAGTGTGACCAGCGCCACCTTGGTGTCCTGCTTCATGAGGCCATTCAGGTGCCCCGTCAGCTGGGGGAAGTGGCAGCCTTTGGGGGCAGCAATGTGGAGCCCAGTGTCCGTAGTTGCTTCCGTTTTGTGAGTATGGACCTGGGTAGGGCAGAAGGGAGGGATAATGGGAAGAAGAGTGGGAAGAAGGGAGGGAGAACTAAGAGCTAGGCTTTTGATCTGAACTACACACATGTAAGGGAGTTTGATGAATGGAAGAACAAGGCAAAGGGTTCTCTGGGTTTTTAGAGTCAGAGTCCAACAGGGAGGGTGCCAACTCTATTAGGATAGGACAGAAGGTAGAGACCTCTGGAGACTAGACCAACTGAGGTCTTGCCAGTTCTCCTGCTCTTTCTGAGAGCTGTCATTCTGAGGACAAGATACTTTGGGCCTCAGCCATTGCTGTTGGGCTTCTTGTTTCCCTAGAGCACTGGGAAGCCAGTCATTGAAGCTTCGCAGTTTTTGGAATGGGTCAACTTGGAGCCCCAATCCATGGTGTGGCTAGCTGTTCTGCATCGGGTCACCATTGCTGAGCAAGTGAAGCATCAGACCAAGTGCTCTATCTGTAGGCAGTGTCCCATCAAGGGCTTCAGGTAGGTAAAACAATACCTGATGGAATGATAATAATTGTAAATGGGCCACATTGCAAATAAATCATATATCACAAAAATGTATTACATAATTACATAAGTACTGCTAATCTGTTGTATGTTTTACATATTGTAATTCTATTGCAGAATGTTTAACTTTTTAAACAATCTTGAATATTTTCTTTTGTTTAGTTGTATTATGAAATATTCCAGACTTACAAAAATGTATACAGAAGCCAAACATGGTAGGTGAGGGAACAGCACAGAAGTGGAAGCAATTTGCTCATGGCTTCCCAGGGACTATTAAGTAGAACCCAGAAGGCCCAGCATACTGACATAAGAACATCTATACCAAATGGCATGCTTGCAAATGCTTCACAACTGACTCTCTATAAAGCAAGAAAAAATCCTAATTTGTAGCATTTGCTAATTTCCATGATGTAAATGCTCCCACTGTAACCAATGTCTGGCTACCCACAGAAGGTTGGGAAGAGATGTGCAGTTGCACACTATTTATAGTACTTCTGCCATGCACATTAAATAGATGAAACAAGTTTTGAATATTTATTACTCCTGTTTTTAATATAATTTACTTAATTGTGAGCTTAGGTAATTTATTTTAAAAATAATGGCTGTGACCTGGCTGTTGCGGCTCAGTGGATTGACCTATGGACCAAAAGGTTGCTGATTCAATTCCAAGCCTGGTACATGCCTGCACTGCAGGCCAGGTCCCCAATTGGGGGTGCGAGAGAGGCAACGATTGATGGTTCTCTCTCACATCATGTTTCTCTCCCTCTTTCTCCCTCCTTTCTCCTCTCTCTAAAAATAAATAAATAAATAAATAGTCTTTAATGGTAATTTAAAAAGTGGACACAAGAGACCCTTTTAAAAATAAAAAATAAAATAAAATAATGACTATATTTAACAACCAGGTTGGAAAATCCCTGAAATTTTAACAATTGGTTCTTATGAGATGTTTTGAGCCAGCTTCAGCAGCCCACAGTATGTACCCACCATCAAGCTTAAGAAGTAAAATGTTATTACAGGACATTCAAAGTTCCACTGATTACATTCCCATCCTTCCCCCACAAGGTAATCACTATCCTGAAATTGGCTTTCATAATACAATGTTCATTTTTTTTTTTTACTTTTTAAAGCACTAACACACACTTTCTTCACAGCTACCCTGCTTTTTATAAGGAAATGAGGCAGAGGTGGAATGTGACTTGCCCAAGTTCACATAGATGGTTAGTGCAGATCCAGGACCAGATCCTCTGACTTCTTTAAGTCTAGGCATTTCACCATTCTATATGTTACTAGGTCTGAGCAGCTCAGCCAGGCTTGGGAACAGGATCAGAGGGCTAGTCTATATTGGATAATAATAGAGTTCTTATTTTAAAACTTTTGAAAATAACTTTTAGCCCACTTTTCCAGGGCTGGTAGGATAAGTGGCCCTTTGTATTGGAAGAGTAAGTTCTCCAACATAGGTACTGGTACCTGTAAGACTGAACTCTTTGGAGCCATCCTTGCTTAGAAAGCTATTTGCACCCTGGCTGGTGTAGCTCAGTGGATTAAGTGCAGGCCTACAAACCAAACAACTGCAGTTCAGTTCCCACTCAGGGCACATGCCTGGGTTGCAGACCAGTTCCTAGCAGGCAACACATGAGAGGCAACCATACATTGATATTTCTCCCCCTCCTCTCTCCTTCCCTTCCCCTTTAAAGATAAATAAGTAAAATCTTTAAAAAAAAGAAAGCTATTTGCTATTGTAAGCGATTTATACCTGCACCCCTTCCTTTCCATACTTCATGAAGATTTATGTTCACTAGAATAAGACTAATCATTTAGTAAAAACTCAGCTAGTGCTGTATGTAGGAGGTTGAACATATTATGGCTCCATGTTCCACCCCCTTCTAGTGTTTATCTATATTTGTATATGAAGGGAATAGCAAGTGACTGTGGTCCATTGGATCCTCTGTCTTAATACCTCTCCTCTCCTCAAGGTACCGGAGTCTCAAACAATTTAACGTGGACATCTGTCAGACCTGCTTCTTGACAGGCAGGGCCAGCAAAGGCAACAAGCTGCACTACCCCATCATGGAGTATTACACCCCGGTATGGAGCCTCTGGGCCAAGTAGGAGGGGGAGACAGCTCTCAGGTTCTGGGCCCTTGATCTACTTGCGCAAGCACTGAATAAATGTATTTTGTTCTCCTGGAGAGAATTTTTCCAACAGTCCTGATGATTCATTGGTTTGAGGGATTCAGGCCTCTCTGTTCTTACAGCAGAGCTTCTTCCTTACCAGGGCCACAACTGGCTATAGAAGCCCAGGACCACTCTCAGCCATTTAAAATCCACTCACTATTTTACTGCCAACAGAAGTTTCAGGAAAAAATAGAGTAAGACAGTTTCAGGCAATGAGCCTTCTGTTGCTCCTTCATTTTTCACACTTAGTTTCCTATATTGCTCCTATCGTTGGTCTTTACCTGCTATGTTGTCATTGTTTCCATCTCTTCTAATCAATACCAAAGTTTTTCCTCAAGTTAATTAATCTCTTGGGAGAAATGGTGTATGCCCTTTACCTGGGTCCCTAATTCCACTTGGTTTTCATTGGAAACCGTGCCCTTCATAGCCACCTGAGTCCAAATTGGTCAGCATCCCTGAACTCCAGCCACAGAATTTCTCCACAGCTACAGACTTGGCTGCCTGAACTAACTCTGCTCCTTCAACTCCTTTATCTCATTCTGTCCCATAGATATTCCCAAAGCCCAAAGCATATACAATTTTCTGCACTGCTTTCTCCCACCCTACCTTCTCATCTTTCAACCTGTTTCCCCACAATCAGTCACTCCAAGTTGTCATTCTCTTCTCCAAATTCTGATGGTACAGAAACATATACAACCTAGTGGGAGGAGAGATGTTGCCTTTTATTTTTCTTTCATTATCATTTTAAAGTAACTTATAAAAATCATACAAGGAAAACTGGCTCAAGATGGTAGACTGATAATCCTCTTCCTCCTGCTATGTCCCTATAATTTATGTAAATGATATATTTTTAAATGAACAAGTATATACTCATTATAGAAGATCCAAATTATATGGAGGTGTTTAAAGTGTAAAATGAAAGTCCTCCCCTCTCCTCAACCTGGTCTCCCCCACTCTGGTCCAACCTCTCAGAGGCAATCAGTGTTCCCACCTTGGGATGTGTCCTTTTGGACCTTTTTCCAGGAGTGGAGTGTGGTAGGCATGAACAAGACTGGAAGACCAGTCACATTTCCTGCTCTCGAGGAGCAGCCACACCTACGTCATCATACCCCAAAGCCTTTAAAGTGAGTTCTTCTACCCTGTTTCTCCTCAGACCACATCCAGTGAGAACATGAGGGACTTTGCCACAACCTTAAAGAACAAGTTTCGCTCAAAGCATTATTTCAGCAAACACCCTCAGCGAGGTTATCTGCCCGTGCAATCAGTGCTGGAGGCTGATTACAATGAGACGTGAGTACCAGTGGCTGGACGGGGCTGTGAGAAACCTTGCTAAGCCTGAGTATGTGAAGGGACTGAGTGCCATGTGGGCTTGGAAATGTTCCAGGGAAAACCCAACTAGTAACAGGGCAGTTCAACTTGGGCCTGACTAGGAATTCGGCCTCACCACTAGACCCTGTGTATTCAGTCTCTGTATCCTGTTCCCATCAGCTCTTGCTCATCTCACTAAGTTTGGAAGGGGGATGGTAGTAGTGAAGAAACAGGCTGCCTTGCTACCCAGTCTTTGGTCCTCTGAGTTATTGCTGCTTTCTTCTAGGCTGGCTTCTTCCCCGAGGTTACCACATGCTGACACACACTCCCGCATTGAGCATTTCGCCAGCAGGTACCACCAGGTTTGGGGGAGAGGAATTGTAAGGAGTCTCATGGGGAAGGGGTTTACAGTTGGGGCAAAGAGAAAGGCGTCAGGCCAGGGGGACATGCACAGTGGGGTATGTGGCAGCCACCAAGGCCCAACATTTAGGTATGGTTGGGGCAGCCCCTAAAACTGATGATTCTATTGTGGAATTAGAGTCCTTGAGATGAAAACAAGCCCCCATCCTGTTTTCCCCTCTGTCCCTGCTCTTTTTTTCCTAGGCTTGCTGAGATGGAAAGTCAAAATTGCTCCTTCTTTAATGACAGCCTGTCCCCAGATGACAGCATGTGAGTTTTCACAGCTGCTTCTTTTACACAAATAGCTAGCTCTCTTTAGGATTCTTCTGCATTATTCGTTTGGGAAGGGTATATCCTTAAGGGGAGAAGGGCTTGATGATTACGGTCTTTGATGCCCTAAGGAAAAAAAGTCTGCTTTCTGGGTATAGTATTTAGTAAGAGAAACTGTCTGCTCTCTATCAACTGAGTAGGGGAAATGATCTACCACATCCCTGCCATCTGCCTAGGTTCATTTCTACTGCAAGATCCTATTTTTCTATGCTAAGCTTCGAGGGAAGAAGAATATGCTCTCATCTAATTTTGCAGAAATGAACCATTATTTTATGCTCATGATGCCAAAGCTAGTGCCACAGCAACCCTAAGGAGACACCAGGAACTTGACTGAAGTATGTCCAGAGAGATTCTCTGGTGTTATAGTCCCCAGAATGGGCCCTTCATCTCTAGGAAGGTACCTAGCCTGCTCAGAAGGCCTAGAAGCTTCAAGTTACATGGATAAGTCAGGCCTTGATTGTGATTCTAGTAGGCAGTGATCCTTCTGGGGGTGGGGAAAGGAAGGGTAGGCAAAGTGAAGGAATAGCACAAAATTGGGATTGTTCCCCAGGGGGCTTTAAGTAGAACCCAGAAGCCCCAGAATACTGAAAACCTGTCTCCTAGTGCACCCAAACATTACCTCTGTGAATATTTCCACCCATTGTAAGCCTCTTTTCCCTCTCTACAAGACTTAGCAGTTAATCTTCCACCATGCATCTCTTAAGGCCTGAGCTGGGAACTGAGAACACATGCCCTGAACTCTTTCTAGGCTCAGTGACTGGCCATATCCTTTCCTCTTCCCATACCCATGCAGAGATGAGGACCAGTATCTGCTGCAGCACTCCAGCCCCATTACAGACCGGGAGGCAGGCTTTGGACAGCAGGCTTCATGCAACATGGCCACAGAAAGCAAGGGGAAGCTGGAGAAGATCCTGGCCCACTTAGAGGATGAGAACCGGTGGGTGTGGTGATGGCACAGATCCATGTGGGTTCTGTAGTCAGACAACTGAATTCAAGTGCTGGCAATTCCACATCCTAGCTATGTGGCCTCAAACAAATTAGATTCTGTGATTTTTTACTCCCTCATTTGTAAAATGGGGGTGATAGTAATAGTACCTCCCTCCTATGCACACTTGGGAAGATTATATGAAGAGGCATTTGATGTATAGCCAGTGCCTGGCTAAAAGAAACTATTCAGTAATTCAGTAAGTGCTAGTGATTCTAGTAATTAGTTGAATCCCTTTAACTCAACCCAAATATTTTCAAGTACCCACTAGATGCAAGCAGAAAGAATACAAACCCAGATAATACAGAAGAGTATATATGTCTCTTTCCTGAAAAAATTTTCAAGGTTGGTATGGAAAATATACTTAGCACTTAGTGAAAATAATAAAAGAAGAGGAAGGTGACACTGCAGAGCACATTTGAGGACTGGAAGAAGGAAAGTGAAGAAGCATTGATGGCAGCCGGGGCCTGAGGAGGGCCTAAGCCACTTTCAGGGCATGCAGTAGAATCCATAGTATCCCTCAGAATGGTGCTTCTCAAAGAGTAGTGAGCATACATGTCACTTGGAAAGCTTGGTAAGATGCAGATTTTGATTCACAGGCCTGAGTTGGGGCCCGAGTTCCTGAATTTCTAACTAGCTCCCAGGGAGCTCCTAGCTCCAAGCTCCCAATGCTCATGCCTTTGGCCCAAAGACTATACTTGAAGTTACAAGTCCTTAGAACAGATCAGTCTGTGAAGTGTCTGTTACTGGTTCAAAATAAGATAAATATAGAAATAGAGAGTAAACTTATAGAAACTCTTATGGCAATTTGACATTACCATGACATCCTAGCAGATAATTAGTGGACTTGTCTCCATTGAATTGGGTATATACCAACTTGACAGTTGCTGAACTTGTGTGGCAAGTCATGTGTGTGTGAGTTGTGTACTAGTTCAAACTATATTGGTCCACAGTGGATTGAAAAATCTCTCTGATATTTTACTATGGATAGTTTTCTTTAATTTAAATTTGTTTCAATTATAGTTCACAAAATATTATATTAGTTTATGTATACAACAGTGATTAGACATTTATGTAACTTACAAAGTGATGACCCCAATAAGTCTTTCCTATAGAGAGTCTGAGCAGCTGTCTGTAGGCAGTCCCTGGGAAACAATGGGAGAGACTAATTCTGTTGCAGAAATAAAGAGGGGGAAGAGAGAGAGAAAGAGAGTGAGCAGAAAAAAGTAATATCTCCCAAAGTAGACTCTTTGGAATCTGTTTTCTTGAACTCAACATGGGTGTTCCAAGTGTGCTGAAGAGAAGGGTAGTTGACAGAGGAGGCAAGATGGATGATATTTTGTTTATGTTATGTCTTCTAAAAATCTAAAAATGGAGCAGATGAGTTAGTGACCATAATGCTTCATTAATGTTTTTGCCATTCAACCAAAAATATGGCTAGAGTAGGGATGAGGATAGAACCAAGGTATAGCTCACACCTAGATAAGAGGGGTCATTTGATTAATTGAATTGATATATACCAAACCTTTCACACCAAAGAAACAAAATACACATTCTTTTCAAATGCACATGGAACATTTTCAAAGATTAGACCACATGATAGGACACAAAACAAGCCTGAACAAATTCAAAAACATTGAAAACATAACAAGTATTTTCTCAGATCACAAAGGCTTGAAACTAGAAATGAACCTGAAGTAAAAACTCAAAAAAAAATCAAATTCATGGATACTGAATAACATGTTATTAAACAATGAGTGGGTTACCAATGAGATCAAGTATCAAAGAAATCAAAAAGTATCTGGAAACATGAAAATAAACACACAACAGCCTAAAACCTATGGGACACGGTGGAAGGCAATCCTGAAAGGGAAGTTCATAGAGATACAGGCCTACCTAAAAAAGATAGAAAATTTTCAAATAAACAACCTAAACTTACACCAACAAAAAATTGGAATAACAAGAACAAATGAAGCCCAGAGCGAGTGGAAGGAAGGAAATATTTAAAATCAGAGCAGAATTAAATGATGTAGAGACTAAAAGAACAATTCAAAGAATCAGTAAATCCAGGAGGTGGTTCTTTGAAGACAAACAAAATCGACAAGCCTTTAACCAGATTCATCAAGAAAAAAAGAGAGAGGAACCAAATAAATAAAATCAGAAATGAAAGATACAATGCAACTGGTATCACAGAAATACAAAGGACTATAAGAAATTACTATGAAAAACTATATGCCAAGAAATTTGAAAACCTACGTGAAAGGGCAAATTTCTAGAAACATATAATCTTCCAAAACTGAGTCAAGAAGAAGAAGAAAGCCTTAAAAGACTGAAAACAGCTAGGGAAATTGAAGCAGTAATCAAAAACTCCTGGTACACGAAAGCACTGGGCCAGATGATTTCACAGGAGAATTTTACAAAACATTAAAGGAAGAGCTAACCCCTATCCTTCTCAGACTATTGCAAAAAATCTAAGAAGAGGGAAGACTTGCAAAAAAATTTTTATGAGGCCAGTATCACTCTAATCCCCAAACCAGATAAAGACACAACAAAGAAGGAAAACTACAGGTTAATATCACTCATGAATGTAGACACTAAAATTCTCAACAAAATACATTAAACCACATTCGGCAATACATTAAAAAGATAATACACCATGATCAAATGGGATTCATCCCAGGGATGCAAGGATGGTACAATATTTACAAATCAATAAGGGTAATACATCACATAAACAAAATGAAAGACAAAGATCACATGATTTATCAATAGATGCTGAAAAAAGTATTTCATAAAGTATAGCATTTGTGTATGATAAAAACACTCAGTAAAGTGGGAATAGAGGGAGTATACCTCAAATAATAAGGGCCATATACAAGAAACTTATAGCCAACATCATACTCAATGGGCAAAAACTAAAAGCTTTCCCACCAAGATCAGGAACAAGACAAGGATGTCCGCTCTCACCACTTCTATTCAACATAGTATTAGAAGTCCTAGCCACAGTGATCAGACAAGAAAAAGAAATAAAAGACATCCAAATTGAAAAGGATGAAGTAAAACTGTCATTGTTTGTAGATGACATGATAGTATACATAGAAAAGCCTATGGAATCCACCAAAAAATCACTTGACATAAGTGAATTTGGGAAAACAGCAGCATACAAAGTCAGTATTCAAAAATGGAAGGCATTTTTGTACACCAACAATGAAATATCAGAAACATAAATTATGGAAAAAAATTTCATTTGCTATAGCAACAAGAAAAATAAAGTATGTAGGGATAAACCTAACCAAGGAGGTAGAAGACCTATACTTGGAAAACTATACAACACTGAAGAAAGAAATTAAGGAAGATACAAATAAATGGAAGCATACACCATGCTCATGGGTTGGAAAAATTAAGATCATCAAAGTGTCCATATTATCCAAAGCAATTTATAGAGTCAACACCATCACTATTTAAATATCAATGACATAGTTCACAGGTATAAAACAAATAATTACATGGAGCCATAAAAGACCCCACATAGCCTTAACAATTTTGAGAAAGAAGAACAAAGTAGAAGAGATCACAATACCTGATATCAAACTTTATTATAAGGTCATTGTAATCAAAACAGTCTGGTGCTGGCATAAGATCAGACATATAGACTAATGGAACAGAACAGAATGCCCCAAAATAAACCAAAGTCTCTATGGTCAATTAATATTTGACAAAGGGGAAAGAATAATAAAATGAAGTAAAAAGAGCCTCTTCACAAATGGTGTTGGGAGAGCTGGACAGCTATGTGCACAAAAATGAAATTCAAGCATCAATGTACAACATACACCAAAATAAATTCAAGGTGGATAAAAGACTTAAATATAAGGTGCAACACCATAAACATCCTAGAAGAAAATAGAGGCAGAAAAATTTCAGGTATCCCATGCAGCAATATTTTCACCAATATGTCCCCTAGAGCAAGAGATATAAAGGAAAGAATAAACAAATGGGACTTTATCAAATTACTTCTGCACTGCTAAAGAAAACATCAGCAAAATGAAAAGGGAACCAACCATATGAGAAAATATATTTGCCAATGATACCTCAGACAAGGGTTTATCTTCAAAACATATAAAGAACTCACATGACTCCACACAAGAAAGGCAAACAATCCAATTAAAAATTGGTCAAAGGACCTGAACAGACATTTCTCCAAGGAGGACATGCAGAGGGCCCATAGACATATTAAAAGATGCTCAATATCACTAGCCATCAGAGAGATGCAAATTAAAACCACAATGAAATACCAGGTCACACCTGTCAGAATGGCCATCATAAACAAGTCAACAAACAGATGATCGTGACATTGTGGAGAAAGGGACCCCTAGTGCACTGTTGGTGGGAATGCAGACTGGTATAGCCACTGTGGGAAACAGTATGGAATTTCCTCAAAAACATAAAGATGGAACTGCCTTTTGACCCAGCAGTTCGACTTCTGGGATTATATCCTAAGAATCCTGAAACACTAATTCAAAAGAACCTGTGCACCCCAGTGTTCATAGCAGCATAATTTACATAGCCAAGTCCTGGAAACAGCCTAAGTGCCCATCAGTAAATGAGTGGATCAAAAACCTGTGGTATATTTACAATTTACACAATGGAACACTACACAGGAGAAAGAAAGGAGCTCCTATCCTTCATGACAGCATGGATGGAACTGAAGAGCATTATGCTAAGTGAAACAAGCCAGGCAGTGAAAGACAACCACCATATGATCTCACCTATAAGTGGAACCTAGTCAAGAAAACAAACAAGCAAGCAAAATATAACCAGAGACATTGAAATTAAGAACAAACTGACAGTGTACAAAGGGGAGGGGGGATAGGGATAACTGGTAAAATAAGGGGAATGTTCAAGTTAAGGAACAGGTATAAAGGACCCATGGACAAGGACAATGGGGAGAGGATTGGGTGTGGGAAATGGGGTGGACAGGGCAGGGGAGAGTAATGGGGGAAAATTGTGACAACTGTAATTGGAAAACAATAGACTTTTTTAAGGGGTAATTTGGGACCCGGACAGTCAACCCTTCACTGGGGCCATAGGTCTTGGCTTCTTTGTCATTGGCAGGATTCTCCAGGGAGAGCTGAGGCGCCTGAAGTGGCAGCATGAGGAGGCTGCTGAGGCACCCACGTTGACTGAAGGCATTGCTGAAGGAGCACAGGACCACCGCAATGAGGAGCTTCTGGCTGAGGCCCGGATCCTTCGGCAGCACAAGAGCCGCCTAGAGACACGCATGCAGATCCTTGAAGACCACAACAAGCAACTAGAGTCTCAGCTGCAGCGCTTAAGGGAACTGCTCCTGCAGGTGAGGCTGAAGCCAGGAGAAACACCAGAGCAGCCCCTACCGGGGCTATAGGTGGGGAGCTGAGGAGTGTGACAGTGGGGAGGAAACAAAGAGCTCCTTAGCCATGACCATTAGATGACTTTCTGAAGAGAACTGGACTGATAATTGGGGAAGGTGAAGAAGGAAAGGCCTAGTGTATCTCATTTCTTGGCCAATTCCCTTCTATCTAGCTTTCACTCCACCCTTGTTGGTTACTCTCAGGGCCTGGGGCAGAGGAAGGACCCCTGAGAACTCACTTTCCTATAACCCATTTGAACCCAGTATTGAAAGAACAAAGTTCAAAAAATCATTTATCCAAAACATTGATTTTGCTGGAAAAAAGCAAGTTTGGACATGCTTAGCAAAAGAAAGATTTTTGCCGTGATGGGAACACTTGTTAATTTTTGTCTCTTTCTTCGAGAGGTAGTGTATATGATATAGTGTAGGTCTGGAACCAGACTGCTATGCATTTGAATGTGGCTCTGCCATTTATTTGCTGTAGTGTTAGCAAAGTTACTTAGTTTTACTAAGCCCCAGTACTACCCCTCATCTATCAAACAGTGATATAATATATAAACGTCATAGAATTTGGTGAACATAAAATAATACATTTAAAGAATTCAGCACAATGGAATATAGTAAACACTTGATAAATGTTACCTATTGTTATTATACATACCAAGTGATACCACCTCCTACATCTTCCCCAGATCATCCAAGGGATGGCCTCTAGATGCCCAGAGGTCTCTAACATGATATGTTATGAACTGAAGATTAGGTGTGCAACTCTACATTTCTACAGAGAATTGGGTTTTAAACAGCTTACTTGTAGCTGAAATGACAGCAAGAGACCTTGAGTTGCAATACCATTCTTATGAGAACTGGGAGACTTTGACACATGTCAAAGAAGGAAGGTAATTGCTAATCAAATATTTTAAGAAGTTTCATCAAACAGGAGGCCACTGTTTTGGCACCTCCAAAGTTTTCCAAGGACAAAAAGATGGGCACAAGGTCTCTAAGGCTCCTTCTAAGTTCAGAAGTCTGTCAAATAAGGTCAGGAAGGCAAAGCAATTTAAGTCATGCATTACCTCTTGTTAGCCACCCACCGAATCAGATGGCAATGGCTCTGCAGGCTCGTCCCTAGCTTCCTCTCCACTGCAGTCAGAAAGCAGTCACCCCCAGGAGAAGGAACAGATCACTCCAAACACTGAGGCTGCAGGTGAGTTACACCAGCCCTTTCCAGCTCCTTCCTCCATGCTTTGTCCTACCCCAGAGATCCTTCCTAAGGTTCTGCTATGGCTGGGTCTGGTTTCTCCTCATGGCATAACATCAGGAATGATTGGCTTACTGACTGATTCATTTGTTTGTCTATTCTACACATGTATATTGAGCACCTCCCATGTATTATACATTGTGCCCGGAAGACACATATGCTGTGGGTGTGCCCATCAGTTGGTGGTGCCCTATCTCAACCCCTTGATTACATTAGGGAATCTCTAGCTCCCTTTCAAAATTTCTATTTTCTAACACAGATGGTGTGGGTTCAAAGACCCAAGATGTCAGCCTGTGCTTGGAGGACATTATGAAGAAACTTCGTCATGCTTTCCCCAGTATGCGAAGCTCTGATGTGACTGCTAACACCCTGCTGGCCTCTTGATGGAGCCAGATCCCCATCTTATAGACCATAGTCCTCTCCTAGTTCTGTTAAAGCCTTCCCTCAACCTTCACCCAAACTTTCCAGTCCCCATTGACCCTACATTTCTCAGCCAGAATTATTTGGGCTCTGGGCAGCAGCAGGGATCTGGTAGTATGTGAGGTGGGTTTGTAAGGGTCGGGGAGGGAAGAGGCATGATTCCTCTGACTCTAAAAATTTCCTCTTTAAATCCTCAAGTTTGAGTCTTGTTCCTTAAGTACACTCCTGTTGTAGCTGAAGCAAATAGCACTTGGAGGACACTCAGATGGGAATCAAAGAAGCTGCTTTGCAAAGCAAACCAGTGCTTGCTGTTGCCTTTCCTTCTCTGTGGAAATATGGAGATTGGGAAGCCTAATGACCCCCAGGTTCTAGCATTGTGAACTCACAGGGGTTAGCTCTACTCTCTGGCCCAAATCAGGGAGGTAAAAGGGTATCCTCGAGACACCCTCTCTCCATCAAAATGACCCTGAAAAATCTGGGCAGCATGTGTTATATTACTTCAGCTTAGAGGCGTATCTCTAGCCACCCTGATACTACTTAGATATTGTTTTCTTCTCAAATATATTCAGTTCCTCTGCCTCAGTCCCTGGCAGACCTTCCTCAAGGGGGGAACTGTTCATTTTGGTTCCCACTTCTACCTTACATTTGGAAACATTAAAGAATTACTTATGAGCTTAGGGTTTGTTTGTTTTTTTTAACTCCTGAGCCTTCTCTACCCTAAGGGCCTCATCATCCTGAGAGACCAGCTGAGTGGCTCTGGACATCCAACTGAAGCCCCCTTGGCTCTTCCAAGTCTGCCCTCACAGCCCTTGGGGAGGGGCAGCAGCTTACTTAGTAAAAGGAACTTGCTCTCCCTGGAAGAGAAAGGAGAGGCAACCCACTAGCCTGGAGGAGTGTGGCTGCCCAACACCCTTGCTTCTTTTAGGCTGAATTGGAGGAGGTGGCTGGTTTTCCCCAGCTAATCCTAAGACAGATACAATAGGCCACCCTGAATAGTAGCCTATTCATAGGATCCATTGGCTACTTTCCATACAGGCAAGAGCATGGCCTTCCTTTGCAGAAAACTATTCTTTCTAACTCTGGAAGGTGAACCCAAACCTCCAACTAAATAGTTCTTCCTAGGCAACATATACCGGGATTCCTTTATCTGAAAACAGTTTAGGGTAGATAGTGAGGAGAGGTGGAAGTGGGCTTGGGAACTTTGAACAGAGTCAGAGCCTACTTACTTAAGCAGCTTTCTTTCAAAAGGAGCTTTATAAGCTAGAACCCTGAAATTGACTTCATTTGCTTAAGTTTATATGCATACATATCTATCTTACATACCTACTGTACATCAGTATACCCCTGGTCTCACACATTAAATTCTAATACCTCTTGAAATATTAATGTTCTGCCTTGCTCTTTGTTAGCCCAAGCCTCTGGTTGAACAGATAGATACATTCTGCCTGCTCCCCTATGATGTATCTCCATTCATTGTTGGAGTGTGTTATCTTCAAAACCAAAGCAACAGAAGCCTGCAGTCACAGAGGAATCTAACAGGAAGAGTCACTCTCTTCTCTTTACTCATTCCAGTTCGTGCTCCCTTGAGACCTGTGACTTGGAGGAATTTTCCCAGGGTCCTCTGAACAATGAATGGGTCAGGTACCAAAATAGAGCAAATCCAAGCTTAACTACCCCATGCAGAGAAGTAACAAACAGGCTTTTATTAGCCTTCATCAGGCTAAGACACAGACTACATCTTCTATCCCTTTCTAGTTCTTAAGTCTGGCTCGAGGCCTTAAAGAAAGCTATGGTTGCCACTGAAGTCAAGAGGGTGTGAGATGCTTGGGGTGTTATGTTACAACCAAGCAATGGGCCAGTGGGTAAAACTGCTGGAAAGCTAGATTTATCTGCTGTAGGGGAGGGAGGGCAGCAGCTTGTGTCCAAAAGCCTAGCATTTAGAATCACCAGGGGACATTAAGGCAGAAGCCCAGAGTGCCAGATATCACCACAACATCTGCTTTACTGTTCATAAGGTCTCTGTGCAGAAAGACTTGGGTATCTGGATGTATTATGAGCACGTGGTAGGTGGGCATCAAACACAGAGCCTGAGCATCTGTCCATGAGTGAGGGAAGCTATATTTGTAGGGGTATAGATTGTGAGTAGGAATGGGATAGAAGAAATTTGCTATTAAACAGAGATCTCAAGGTCTTTGAGGCTTATGGTTGCTTAATCCTTAGGAGTGCAGAAGTTATGAAATAATCTTTTACCAGGGAAGTCCTGGAAAATCCTTTATGTAACCCGCACTTCCCTTGAGATCTAGGGTTGCTGAGGGCCTGTGGCAACCACAGTGGGCCAGGCATGATAGGGAAGTTGTAGATCTTGTTATGTAGGATTTGTGTTGTTACATGGATTGAAGCAGCAGGTCAAGAGTTGAATTTTCACTACCAGGATCACTGACACTTTGTGGTCCTGTGTTTACCTTAAAGCCAGAGGTGAGTATAGGCATACCTTGTTTTATTGCACTTTGCTTTGTTGCACTTCACAGATGCTGCTTTTTTGTTTTTCACAAGTTGAAGGCAAGACCCTCCACCAGTAAAACGATTATAACCTATTTTACTGTGAAGCTTATTTATTGTGGTGGTCTGGAACTGAATCTGAAATATCTCCATGGTATGCCTCTTTATCACTCAAGGCTCTGGTGATGGTCACTGCATTATGTACAAACATTATGCCCACAGTGAGGTAAATGGATCCATGGGCACTGTAAATCCAAATTAGGGTGGGATTTACTGAGATTGTTATATGTCATTAGGCATCTGTCATGTATGTGTCTCCTAAAGGAATTGTGTGTGATGCTGTGTAGTGTATGTCCTTGTACTGAAAGTGTGGTGAAGGGAGTTACTGGGTAGGTAGCCAGAGGAAAATCTCTGACTTGATGGGTTAGTATCTGTGATAAGGAATGTGCCTGCCGGGGTTGTTGTCAAATAGTATCAATGAACAGTTAGGACTGATAGGTGATTTATTCTTGACAGAATCTGATAGAAGCCAAGAAGCCATTTTGAGGGTGCCTCTGCCTGTAGTGAGAGCATAGTGGAATCATGTTGACTAGAAAATTGTTAGGCAAGGGTGACTGGCTGGAGGGCATCAGGCTGTTTGTTGTTTGGTTCCCTAGAGAGGGCCCTACCCAGGAGGACATGTGCCCTTCCCTCCAGAATGGAAATGCTGAAATCAAGGCTCTCAAGTGCCCATTTTCTTCAAGGTCCCAAGTTTGGAAATATTTTCTTGCAGAGAAACCTGTTTGAGCTTCTTTGCTCCAGGAACTGGGCTTGTATATTGCAGTAATGAGAAATCCTGAGGCCAGACAGAGGCCTCCAGATTCATTTAAAGGAATAGTCTACTGCCTGAGGTGTGTGTTTGGGACCTGAGCTCCATATCCAGCTTCAGGCTAGAGAGTTGCTTCAGCACACATTCTCAATGGTAGACTTATGGCCTCTGAAACCATTTCAGGTCAAGAATCCCATCAAAGTTTCTTTGACATAGGTGACAGATAACCAAGAACATTAAAAGACAAACAGTCCTGGGAGAGAAATGGGCCCTTGCCCTAGGGCTGTGGAGACTTAGCTGCTCAGCAGGACACCTCTATTTCTAGGCCTCCTTGTCAATAACTGTCTCTGGGAATAAAGGAATACTTCAATTCCTTCTTACTTTTTTAACACCCATGGCTGTGGGAGAGGGAAAGGCTCAAGGCCAGGGCTCAGGCCCCAGCTACATCTCCTCCCATAATTGATGCATTTGTGGGAGGAGGTGTGGCGTGCTGAATGTCCTTGCTGTCCCCAGGGCAGTATTGAAGCTGGACTGAAGCCCACTATGCTGTTTGCTGGCTGCAAGAACTAGACATGAGGATAAGAGTTAGGGAAGGAATTTGAGGGAGGTTGCAAGGGTAGCTAGCACATTAGTCTAGAAAAGTTTGGGATGAAGGAACAGGACTGGAAACAAATTGGTTAACATTGATTGCCACTCACTGTGGTGCTTTTCCCCTTTCCCTTGAATTCTTCTTTGAAAAGAATAAATTTGTATTTGTTTACTTTGGTTTCTCTGGTTATATATACTGTTTGACTCTGTTATTGCACATCTTTTCCTTATTTGTGTGTGGGAAGAAATAGTGGGCCAAGAGGCCACAGGAACAATGGAAAACATGTGCTACCAGATGAGTCCAACACCTACTGGACCAAAAAACACCCCTACTAGGTACACCCACCATAGTTACTTGGAGTGGTTGCTTCTCAAGGCCCTATGAATTACCCCCTCAAAGAATGAGCACTTATGGTAATGGTTCCTGAATACCATCCTCATTGATCTGAGGAATTTTTTTGCCACCTGAAATAATATTCAAAGAAGGACAATGCAGTAAGTTTCCATAAAGTTACCTTTATTCAATTTCAAGGTCAAAGGTCTATCCTGTAGAAAACACACTTATATATACATATGTACAGTCTATCCAGAAAGTATCCATTCATGTAATATGAAAAATAGAGATAATATACAAGATATGAGAAACATTGTAAATAGGACAGTAACACCTCAGTTCTCTTCAAAGTAGATACCTTGGGACCTCATACATTTCTCCCAATTGCCATCAGCTGCCCCATCATATTTTCCTAAATCTCATAGACATTCTGAAATCTCCTTCCTTTCAAAGCTTGATTTTAGTTTTGGGAAAAGCCAGATGTAGGGCACCAAATCTGGGTTTTAGGGGGGCTGAGTCACCTGGGTGATTTTGATGTTTCACCAAAAAACTGCACAAGATGAGATGCATAAGTAGGTGCATTGTTGCGATGAAGCTGCCAGTCACCAGTTTCCCGTAGCTGTGGCCTTCTGAATTATTCAAATAGTTTTCACAAAAGAATATTCAAACTTCATGCAAAATTTGATGCAGATCCATTGCTTTGCTTGTTCAGTCATTTTGAATGTGATGGCCACACAATATATATGCTTATTCAATGGCATCTACCACCCCCACTGACTAGTACAGTGAAGTCATCATTGTTCACACACACACATTCCAGTCCACTGTCCTTGGCTGCCAGGGTACATCGATGTTGTGCAAACTGTTCTTATTATGTTAACAGTAGCTTGACTTTTCCCAGACAGATCTTGTATATCCCTGTAAATTGGTAGCCATAGTTTTTACACATGCATTTTTACAAATAGGAAATTAAAAGTCTGTCAGTACCTCTTCGCTACCACCAATTTTTCTTTTTTCACCAATCTATAACAGCTCTGTTCAATATAAATATAAAAATAAATATAAAGTGAGCCACATATGCAATTTAAATTTTTCCAGCAGCTTTATTAAAAAGTAAAAACAAGCAGGTGAAACTAATTTTAATAGTATATTTTATTTAACACCACAATCCTTAATATTATCATTCCAAAATGTAATCAGTATAAAACAATTCTTAATAATAAGATATTTTATATTCCTTTTTAAAAAATGTCTTAGAAGTTGTCGAACAGGTTTATAGATTCTGCTGTTAAAGAAATAAAAACCCAACTTCCAGTCAAGATGGCAGCATAGGTAAACATGACTCGCCTCCTTGCACAACCACGTCAAAATTACAACTAAAATATAGAACAATCATTACCCAGAAATCAAGTTGAATGGAAGTCTGACAACTATGGAATTAAAAACCAAATCCATCCAGACTGGTAGGAGGGGTGGAGATACTGAACAAGTTGCTCCCACATCCACATGTGGTAGATAAAAGTTTTGGAGGGATATCTTGGGAGTGAGAAGTCCCGGCCCCACACCAGTCCCCCCCAGCCCAGAGTGGTTCTAGTGTCATGAATATAAGTCCCCATAACTCCTGGTGAAACCAGAAAAGCCAGCATTCATGCTGCCTGTCACTACTAGAACCAATAAGCAGAGACAGGGATTGAATCTTTGTGGGTGCTTTATTCAGATGGCCAGCAATTTGAAAAGATGGTGGGTTGTGTACCCTAACAGACCATCTCACATTCTATTTCAAACTAACCCTTTATATAAGGAGAAGAAAAGTATAGGTAAGGGATTTGGAATTCTGGGAAATGGTTAATCAGATAAAAAATTGCAGCATTCTTTCATGTGTGTCCTGGGCTATGGTCTTTATCTGTGTCCTGGGAGGTGGGCATATGGCTCAGATACCATCTTGATTGCTTGCAGTCTGCCTGAGGCATGAAGATGGAACTGCTTATAGTCTCCTGGAGTTAAGTTGGGTCATACCTTCGATTCCTGAAACAATAGCTTTTTACATGCATTGATTTCTAAGCTTATTAGCTATTATCTGTTAGGGACCACTTTGTGTGCATTGGAGACTGTAGCCCTGTGCAAGCAACACCTTGAAAGAGGCCTGTAAGTTGTGACCAGAACGCTGAGAATGCAGGAGGCAGTGCTAGTACTGAGGGTTCCCAGGGGATATCAGGCCTGAAGAATGCATTGTACCCTTTGAAGCTTGCTTTGCTTTGTATAGCCCTGTTGGTATAAACCATATAAGCATAAGGAGTGAATTCCTTGTCTCATGAAACATGGCCATCTGGCATCAGCACATCTAACAGACCCTAACCTGAGCAGATCTCAGTGTTCCTTTGTGGGGGTGACTTTCCTCGAAGCCACCCTGTGTGCCACAGATGAGAGTAAACATGACAGAGACATGATGTGATCTGCTTGGGGAGGAGAGGTGGCCAGTTTCCCAGAGGAAAAAGGCCTTGAGCAGTGGCCAGTTTCTCTAGGGAAAAGAGGCCTTGAGCCCCTCCCTCCAGGGGCTTTTATTGGGTTGTAATACACAGGAATACAGGGTGACAAGGATCAAACAGTAGATAGTCTGAGTCAGAGTCTGTCAGGCAGAGAGTTTTAGAGTTTCCTGCTCGAACTCTTAACATATGAATGAAAGCACTCTTAGCAGAGCAGATTTCACAGGTTTTTCAGGAATTCTTTGTGATGCCAGATTTTTCCCCAGGACATGCTCTAGCAAGGCAAGGAGCTGCACCCCTTCCCATCAGGTATTCAGGCTTAAGTGGATTAGAGCCAGGAAGTGCTTCTCCCAGAGGACATGGGGACTCGGGCTTTGTCAAAGCCAAGGGGCGAGAGTCCATTGCTTCCTCTTAGTCCCAGGCCCCTGAGTCCTTCCATGATGGTGTCCTAGGTGATTGTGTCTGGCCTAGGTTGCCCCTCCTCTGAGGGGTCTTACCCATCAAGGATTTCTGACCATGCTTTGGGGGCAGGGAGGAAACTGAGGCAGCAATTGCTAACTGAGACAAGCCTTGTCTCCTGTGGCTCTCATTCCAGAGGTCACTGGTTCATCCTTAGCCACAGGGGGTAGAGGTACAATTCCTAAACCCAGGCAGAGTGGTCCACAACATTCCTTCAATTGTTATCTATAGATAATATCTATTTTCTATTAACTATAGCCTTTGGGCATTGATTCATGAGTTATGCATGCATGATGTATACCCCTGCAAATACTGATCCTAATAAAAGTTGTTTCAGAGAAGGGCTCCGGGCATTCTCCACTAGGGGGAATCTCAACCCCCTTTCCCAACAGAACAACAGATTGTGTCTGGGACAACTTATTCTCATCCTCAGCAGCCAAGAGAGCTCCACAGGATGGAGTTCCCCACAATTACCTAAAACTAAAATTTTCCAACATTCGAGTCCTCATCACTGGCTGCAAAAGCCAGTGGGGATTGAGTCAGTGGAAGAAACTTCTGGAGTCCCAAGCAGTTTTCCTTAAAGAACCCAGACACGGACTTACTCAGATTCATTCCCTTTCAGCAGTAGCTGGGGGACAGCTTTCTTTCAGACAGAAGTGTGGACAGTGGTTATTGTCCCTTTTGTGAGCTGTCTCTCCAACAGAGCCACAGAGCCAGCATACCAGCACTGTATCTGAGACTCCATCAACTTGGCTAACACTGTTTGGCCCCACACTGGAGATCCCCTGAGACTCTGTATCACTCAAGTATGGACCCACCCTAAATGTTAACCATTACTTTTTCATAAGAATGGTTGGTCTTGGTTCATGCTTCACAACTTCCTAAGTCCTATCAAACAAACAACAGTCAACTTCAGTGCACCTTCAGATCCCCTGTACCTCTTGTTAAGTGTCTCCAGGCCCACCACTAGCAGCAGCCAGCCCAGACTCACAGCTTAGCTTCACCTGGGAATCTCCAAGGCCAGCACAAGGAGCAGCCATCTGAGATTGATTTATAGCTCAGGGAGGGTGGCCCCAGGCAAAACACAGGTAGGGGCTGACCTTGGCCTGCAGCACCTGGGAAATCTCAGAACCTGAGCACCCCGTGGACAGCTACAGACTACATCGGAGCACCACTACTCTGCCCCTGCACAGCTGATCCTCCACAGAGTACAGAGGTTGGTGGTCAGTGTTAACAGCCAGTCTTTGCAGCTGACTTGCCTGGGTAAACCCTCCCATTAATCTGCCAACAATAATCAAGGCTCAACTACAATAGGAGGGTATACTCAGCCCATAAAAAGGGTGGACCTCAAGTACTCAGCTTGGGTGATAGGGGAGACTGTGCCACTGGAATGTACAGGACACATACTACATTAGGCCATGCTACCAAGATAGGGAGTCATAACAGCTCAACTTAATATATAAAAACAAACACAGGGGAACTGCCAAAATGAAGAGATAAAGAAACATGCCCCAAATGAAAGAACAAATCAAAACTTCAGAAAATGAACTAAACAAATTGGAGAAAAGCAGTATATTGGATGCAGAGTTCAAAACACTGGTTATAAGGATGCTCAAGGAACTTAGTGAGGACCTCAACAGCATTAAAAAGGTCCAGTCAGAAACTAAGGATACACTAATTGAAATAAAGAACAATTTACAGTACAACTAAGGCTACACTCATTGAAATGAAGAACAAACAACAGTAGAGTAGATGAAGCGGAGAATTGAATCAATGATTTGGAACATAAGGAAGCAAAAACAACCAGTCAGGACAACAAGAAGAAAAAAGAATCCTAAAAAATGAGGATAGTGTAAGCAGCCTCTGGGACAACTTCCAGCATTCCAACATTCACATCAGTTTGATGCCAGAAGGACAAGAGAAAGAGCAAGAAATTAGAAATCTATTTGAAAAAATAATGAAAACTTCCCTAATTTGGTGAAAGAAATAGACATGCAAATTCAGGATGCAGAGTCCCAAACAAGATGGATGCAGAGGCCCACTCCAAGATACATCATCATTAAAATGCCAAAGGTTAACAATAAATAGGGAACCCTAAAAACAGCAAGAGAAAAGCAGTTAATTACCTACAGAGGAGTTCCTTTAAATCTGTCAACTGATTTCTCAAAAGAAACTTTGTAGGCTAGAGGGATTGGCAAGAAATATTCATAGTAATGAAAAACATGGACTTACAGCCAAGATTGTTCTATTCAGCAAAGTTATCACTTAGAGTCGAAGGACAGATAAAGAGCTTCCCAGACAAGAAAAAAACTAAAGGAGTTTATCATCACAAAACCATTATTATATAAGATGATAAAGGGACTTATTTAAGAAAAAGTAGATCAAACCTATGAACAATAAAATGGCAAACAATACATACCTATCAACAATTGAAGCTAAAAAATAAGCTAAGCAAAAAGAAGAACAGAGACAGAATTGTGGATACAGAGATTGCTTTGACGGTTGCCAGATGGGAGGAGGATATGGGGGAGTGAGTGAAGAGGTGAGGGGATTAAGAAGTACAAATAGGTAGCTACAGAATAGTCATGGGGATGTAAAGTACAGTATAAGAAATGTAGTATCCAAAGAGTTTATATGCATGACTCACGGACACAGACAATGGTGTGAAGATTGACTGAGGGAGTGGGAGGTGCTGGGTGGAGGGGGCAATGGGTAAAAATGGGATAACTCTAATAGCATAATCAATAAAATATAATTTTAGAAAAAATTAAAAATCCGCTTAGACCCAGAGAATCTATTACTTATAGAGAAAGCAAAAATAAGAACCTCAATGGTATTAGGTCCTTGTGTCTCTTGTCCATCAAGATGACACTGAAACAAAAGGGGCATTATGACATGCAACATGAATAGGTGGACACTCTGTTGCTGAGTAGCCAATTCCACATTGTAGCCAAGTAGTTTATGGCCTTTGGGGCTGGGAGGCAGGCAGAATGTCCCATGCCTTATCAGAATGAAGAAGGCGGATGAGAAATTGCCTTTTGACAGCCTCCCTGAGATAAGGTGGTGAGTGAGAATGGTTTCTAGAAGGAGCTCTTCTGTTTCAATAGGATTACAGAGTGTTCCACCAAGGCCAGGGTAACCTGCGCTTGAACCATGCCTACATGACCTATGTGGGTATTGTGAGGTTGCCAGGCTGCAGGAACAGGGTAGTCCCTCTACAGAAACCCTGTGTATATTTTACACTTACCACACATCTCAATTCTGGCTAACCATATGTAAAGTGTACAAAAGTCACATGTGGCTAGTGGATACCATATTGGACAGTGCAGGTCTATAACATGCAAAAGTCAGAATCACTGGGCTATAAAAAACTTTATGAGGTAGCGTGTGTGTGTGTGTGTGTGTGTGTGTGTGTGTGTGTGTGTGTGTTGGGTGGGGTGGAAAGTCAGGGTGGCAATAAGCCTTGGTGAACTGGAGGGTGAGCAGTGGTGAAGCAGTTACCCAGGGTTACAATGAGGTAAGGTAATAGAGGGAATGGAAGGGCACTGCAGACACATGAATTTGACCTTGCCTCTCTGTCTTCCCTTCCCCCTTGCCATTCATTATTGCTCTAGCTGTTCTTGGGCTGAAGTATTGGACAGGGGCTGGATAGGGCTCTTCTACCTCTCTGGCCCCTTGATGCCACTTTTGCATATGTGCCACCCTCACTGCCCTGTCTCTCCAGCCATGTCCCCGGGGTACTTTTATTTTATCTATTTCTGTTCCAGTCCCCTGCTTTCCTTCATCTGTAAAGACCTTCTTTTCAAACCCTCCCTCTTCTCCCACATTCTGACACTGCCTCTGACACTCAATTCTTTTCCCCCATTTTCTTCTCATCTTTTGGGGTTTTGGGAAAAATTTGTTTTCATATCTTCATTTTCAAGCTGTCCTCTAACTTCTTTCCTAAACTTGGCTTCATTTTGTTTTCTGTTAACATGTCAACTTCCCTTAGTCCCACTTCTTCCCTACATTAATTAGCCTTCAGCATTCCATCTTCATCCCTCCTCCATAGGCCCTTCTGATACATACTGACCTCTGCTTCCCTGCCCTTGGCTTATTCACCTCAACTCGGAATGGGAGAACCTGAAGTAGTAGAGAAAAATTGCAAGTGCATTTCCTACAGCAACACCAACTTCATTAATTGAGACCAGGCCTAGATCTAGCTGGGCTGCTTCCAGAAAACCCTCAGTTACTTCTTGGTAACAAGCGTTACCACCCTTGATTTCCAGATGAGGAAATAGAGGGTTGGAGAGGTGTAGGAACTTGCACAAGGTGAGTAGCAGAGCTGGGATTCCAACCTTGTGTTTGTTCCACTACAACATAATTTAATGCAAATATTGGAGCTGCCATTTTTACCACATCTCTCTACCTGCTTTTGAAATTCCAATGCTGTAGGATTAATATGGGATGATTTGCTCTTTAGGAGTCCCAGTACTGGCGGCATTTCATGACATTTCCTGATCCTAGTTTACTGTTTGTCTCTCCAGTTTCCTTTTGGATATGGGTGTATTCACTGTGTGAATACTTTAATAAAGTGACAGCAATCCATTTAAAATGAGGAATTTATTTATTGCTTAAAGAATACAGAGTAGAACACCTCAACAATACAGCTGAAGAAACAAACCCGCCCATGGTTTTTAAGGGAGTCTTCACAGGCATCTGGTTTTTCCTAACCCTTTCTGATGGGGGTTAGGATGAAGAGACTCAGAATAAGGAGAATAGCTTGCAATTTCATCTCTTCTGTAACTATTCTTTTAGCTGGCAATAACAATGGGAGACAGTCCTAAAAACACAAAAGCAGAACAAAGATAGTGGCAAGAAATCATCCCTGACTCTCTTGTAAGTGGCCTGAGGTGACCTCTGAAAATGGCTTGCTATTCATTTGACTCAGAAAACTTTGCAAAACCATGCAAATAAAGAGCTTCAAATCTTTGTGTTCACTTTAAGAACACTCATGAAACTGCCCAGACCACCAAACAAAGGTATGCATATTTGAAAAACCAACAAGTATTTTAAAGATGTCACTTTACAGAAGCAATGTGTGCCACTGTGTTGTTATAATGGTGGAGCTGGTAGATATGCCCAGGTTAAACAGTAGGGCTGGACACAGGGTTCATGGCCCAAGAAGAGTGCTGATTTTTTGCTCCATGTTTCAAAATGCAGAGAGTAATGCTGAACTTAAGGGTTTAGATGTACATTCTCTGATTATTCAGTACATCCAGGTGAACAAATCTCCCAAAATGCGGTGCAGAACTTACAGAACTCATGGGTGAACTAATCCATTCACGAGCTCTCCCTGCCACACTGAGATGATCCTACTGAAAAGAGCAGATTGTTTCTAAATCAGAAGAGGAAATTACACAGAAGGAAAAAAATATTCCAGAAGAAATAAAATCTTATGGCCTGAGAGTAAATTCAGCATAAAATAAATGCTAATAAAGTAAAAAAAATCACCCTTCAGCAAGAAAGCAGCCTCTATCACCTGAACAGAGATAAGACACACTTACTATTAGCTGCCACAAAGTAGGCACTTAAATTCACTGTGGCCAGTCCTAGCCCTTGGTAGAAAGGACTTTATTTGTTCTATGTTTTAGAAAATATATAAAGCAAACAGAAAGAAAAGCTGAAACATATGCAAATCAGCTACATGCCCTGCAGGCTATACTATCTATCTTTGGCAAGCATGGCTGAATCATCTGCTGGCACCTAGAACAGAGCAATACAAGTAATTCTCAAATTCATAAAAAGAAGCAAAGGCCCATAGTTGAGTTGAATCATTAGATCTACTACTTTTTAAATATTCTGTCCCTTTCTACACTACTATAAACTTCAAATATTATTAGCAAGAAGAAAGGCTCAGAGAAACAAATACAAATGATTTAACATAAGGCAGTGAAACAAACAAACATCCAGTTTCACACAGTCTTCGATCTGATTGGGGAATCCAATGTTTGTGTGCCAAGCTGAAGGCTCTCCTTAGTTCTCCAGAAAGTGTTTCAATTTTTCCTGGAGGGAAATGATCTGTAGGGACAGGCAGAAAAACATGAGAAATTTACCTGAAATCTTACTCCACTACTTGACTTAGAATTTGCTTATATGAACAAAAAAAGAACAACTGTAATTTGACCTTTATATGGTTATCTTAGTCTTCTGATGTTCCAAAGAACAGTGCCATAGTCAAGAATGCATACACAGCCCTGGCCAGGTGTCTCAGTTGGTTGGAGCATGGTCTCATACACCAAAAAGTTGCAGGTCCAATGCCTAGTTAGGGCACATACCTAGTTGCCCTGGGGATCAAAATTGCAGGTTTGATCTCCAGTCAAGGTGCATATAGGAGGCAACTGATTGATGTTACTCTCTCACACCAATGTGTCTCTCCTCTCCTCCCCTTCCCTCCCCTCCCCTCCCCTCCCATCCTCTCTCTGTCTCAAATCAGTAAACATATTCTTAGGTGAGGATGTTTTAAAAAGACTGCATACACAATGCTGCAACCATGATATTGTCTTTATTATAGCATACTGATAAAAGGAAGCTTTAAAATTGAATAGGCTGAAAAATTAAATGTGCTTGCTGTTAAGAATTTTTACTTCTGGAAGGAGTGTAGAGAGGTCGCAGCTCAGTGTAGGGACAAAGGAGATGGAATCCCTGTAGTCATTCTAAGAGTCAGAAGATAAGGTGGTTATCTTCTTGTCTCACTGAACACACTGAATCTTATACCAGGTCTTTGCTGCTGCTTCTTGTCACATTAAGAGACACTTGGAAACTGGTCAGAGTCCTGACCAATCAGGCGCATGATGGTGTTCTACTTATCCTGATGTATTCAAAGACAGAAGCCCTGAACCTTTTGTGGTATAGGATTTAATTTAATTTTTTTAACTTAAAATGGCAAAGTGGACAATAACACTGAGTTATACTGTCTTTGGGGCAAAGATGATTTCTAAATTTAAGGGGAAAAACGAGGAGGGATTTTGAAGAACAAGTATGAAAGACACAGGGATGAGGTCTGTGGGGAGGGGGGGATGGGAGGGAGGTGGGGAGACGGGGCGGAGGGGGGGTTGGGATGGGAGAAATTGACAAAAGAAAACTGTACTTGAAAAATAACTCAATAAATTTTTTAAAAATACAGCTGAAAAACAAAAGAAAAAAATTCTTAATAAAATAAGAGAGTTACATAAAAATGAAAAAAAATATTATTCAATTTAGGTCATTTCATACTAATAAGCATTTTCATTATGTGAAATAAAAAGAATAGAGCATTACAAAAATGATCCTGTGCTGCACACCACCTACCAAAACTGCTATAATTGCCACCTGCAGTAAGAGGCTTTTTTTCACTCCAATGCTGATTGTGATTACAACCACTGACTGCTCCAATTTTCTGTTTTTGGGCTCTTTCTCTTCCCACCACCCTCTAAAGAGAGCTTTTTCCCTAGGTTAAGACTTCTTATTGAACAGCTAACCTGGGTAACTCATCTATCCCCACAGATTCAGTGGTCATTTCTATGCATGAGCCACTCTCCAATCTCCCATTTTAGACTGCTTCCAACTCAAATAATCATATTCTTCATTCCCCCAATAATCCCCCAATAATCCTCTTCCTGTTGTCTCCATTTCCATTAAGTGGCACACCATATTCTAGTTACCCAGATTTGGACTCCTTTTTGTTCCTCTTGTTTTCCTATAAATTTAATCAATTATTGACTTATGATTCCTTCTATCACTTACACCTTCCTCCACCCTTCCTCACTCTAATTTCTCCTATATATTGCTGGCAGAGAAATCTTCCTGAATTGCTCCCCAGTTAAAACAAAACAAAACAAAACAAAACAAAACAAAACAAAACAAAACTCTGATGGCTCATTATGACCTTCATCAAAAATCTAAACTCTTTAGCCTAGCATCAATGCCTTCTTTTTTCATTTCGTTAGTAAAACCCTACCCACTTTTTAAGGCCTCAAACACCATCTCTCCATAAAGTCTTACTTAATTTCCATGGACAAAAGTAAATTCTCCTTCCTTTAAATTGCCATCCCCCCCCCATGGATTTCTCATCCACTGGAGGCAGAGAGTGTGTTGTAAGCATTTTATAGTTCCCTGCATAACCTAGCTCAAAGTAGGCACCCAATAAATCTACACTGAATAAATGAGCTAACACAAAGGGCTCTGAGTGAATAAAGTTTACAGCTATCTTTCCTTGTTGAAAATATCAATAGCACTCCCCAACACTAACTACTAACACTGATGAAAGCTTAGTGGATGCTAAAGCAATCTTGGCATTAACCATTTATATGGTTGTTTATAAAGACTAGTTGGAGTAGTGATTTGCTGAAGGAAGGGGAAGATACAGAACATAAGAATTCCTCTGGCTTTTTTGGATGGGGATGTGAAACAGCATTGTCTCTACCTTAAAAGCCCCATGCTAAACCCATCCTCATAATATGACCTCCAATCTCCTTAAAATTGTTACCCTCAGACTTCCAGCCAAAATGAAGTCATAGGCAGATACACTTTGCCTCCTTGCACAAACAAAAGAAGGACAATAACAAATTTAAAAATAAAAATATAACCAGAAATGCCAGAAAATTGAACTGTATGGAAGTCCAACAACCAAGGAATTAGAGAAGAAACATTCATTCAGACCAATAGGAGGGGTGGAGATGGGCAGCCAGGGTGGAGAGGACACACCACAGAGCAGGAGCTGGAGGACTGTGTTTTCCCACATTTTTATGTGGGTAAACCAGGAGGAACAACTGGGGAGCCAGACAGACTGTACAGCCCAGGGTTCCAGCATGGAAAAAGAAAACCTCAGAACCGTTGGCTGTAAAAAACCTGTGGGAGTTGCAGCGATGGGAGAAACTCTTGAGACTCATAGGAGACTTCATTGGATAGACACACCAGGTCCTAGAACATACACAAACCCACCCACCCAGGAATCACCACCAGAAGGGCTCAATTTGCTTGTGGATAGTGGGGGAAGTGACTAAAAGTCAGCCGAGAGCCAAGAGAGTGGCATTGTTCTCTTTTGGATCCCTCCCTCACATACAGCACCACAAGGCATCACTGTGAGTTGCCCCACCCTGGTGAATACCTAAGGCTCTACCCCTTACTACATAACAGGCACTGAGATTTAAAAAAATATGGTCCAAATGAAAGAATAGATCAAAGCTCCAGGAAAAAATATAACTAAGTGATGAAAAGATAGCCAACCTATCAGAGGCACAGTTCATAACACTGGTAATCTGGATGCTCACAGAATTGGTTGAGTATGGTCACAAAATAGAGGAAAAAGGGAAGGTTATGAAAAGTGAAATAAAGGAAAAGATACAGGGAACCAACAGTGAAGGGAAGGAAACCAAGACTCAAATCAATGATTTGGACAAGAAGGAAGAAATAAACATTCAGCCAGATCGGAATGAAAAAATAAGAATTCAAAAAAAAAATGAGGAGAGGCTTAGGAACCTCTGCGACAACTTTAAATTTTCCAACATCTGAATCATAGGGGTGCCATAGGACAAGAGGAAGATCAAGAAATTTAAAAACTTATTTGAAAACATAATAAAAAAGAACTTCCCCAATCTGGCAAAAGAATAGACTTCCAGAAAGTCCAGGAAGCTCAGAGAGTCCCAAAGAAGTTGGACCCAAGGAAGCACACACAAAGGTACATCATAATTACATTAGCCAAGATTAAAGATGAGAGAATCTTCAAAGCAGCAACAGAAAAGGATACAGTTATCTACAAAAGAGTTCCCATAATACTATCAGTTGATTTCTCAAAAGAAACCTTGCAGGCAAGAAGGGACTGGAAAGAAGTATTCAAAGTTATGAAAGTTAAGGACCTTCATCCAAGATGACTCTATCCAGCAAAGCTATCATTTGGAGTGGAGGGGGCAGATAAAGTGCTTCCCAGATAAGGTCAAGTTAAAGAAGTTCATCATCACCAAGCCTGTACTATATGAAATATTAAAGGGACTTATCTAAGAAAAAGATGAGCAGTAAAATTACAACAAACTCATAACTATCAACAACAAAACTTATAAAAACAAAAACAAAAATGAACTAAGTAAACAAGTAGAACAGGAACAGAATCACAGAAATGTAATTCCCATGGAGGGTTATTGGTGGGGAGGTGGAGAAGTGAGAATGGGAGAAAAGGTACAGGGAAAAAGAAGCATAAATGGTAGATACACAATAGACAGGGGAGGTTAAGAGTAGTATAGGAAATGGAGAAGCCAAATTACTTATATGTATGACCCATGGACATGAACTAAGGGGGAAGAATGCTGGTGGGAGCGGGGATGCAGGTGGAGGGGAATAAAGGGAAGAAAAAAAGCAATAACTTTAACTGCATAATCAATGAAATATATTTTTACAAAATTGTTAACCTCAATATTATAGGGCTGGAATTGGCATACATTTTTTATATAGCTATTTGTCCCTCACTTACCACACACTGCCCTCCTTTTTCACTCTGATCACTTTCTTGTGACATTAAATAATAGAGTCACATGAGTTAGATACCTGGCACACATCCTTAACACTTCCTTCTCCTTCAACACCCAGTAATTGACCCAGGTCCATCAATTCTACCTTTAAAATGCATTCACTCACATATGAATGTTCGTAGAAGCGATATTCATGATAACTAAAATGTGGAAACAACTCAAAATCCATTGATGGATAAATGGATAAACAAAATGGTATATCCATACAATGAAATATTATTCAGTCATAAAATGAAATAAAGTACTGATACATGCCATAACATGGATTAACCTTGAAAACATCACATTAAGTGAAAGAAGTAAGACACAAAAGACTATGTATGTTTCCTCTTGTATGAAGCAGCCAAAAATAGGCAAAGTAGACAAGTAGAAAGTAGATTACTGGTTGCCTAAAGGTGGGAGGTAGGAGTGATTCAGAAGAAATGGGAACTGAACGGTAATGAGTACAAGTGTTTTGGGGGGATAATGAAAATGTTCTAAAATTGATTGTGGTAATGGTTGCACAATTCTGTGAATGTATTAAAAGCTGTTGAATTGTATAATTTAAATGGGTGAATTGTAAGGTATGTGAATTGTATATCAATAAAGCTGTTATAAAACATTTATATTTCAGTTAAAATTATATATGTTCTTTCCATCTCCGTTGCCACCATCTTAGTCCAAATTACCACCGTCTCTTATTTAACTACCACATAGTCTCTTTTTTTTACTTTATTTTTTATTGATTATGCCATTACAGTTGTTCTATTCCCCCCTTCATTCCCCTCCACCCTATGCCCCCGTCCCCACCATTACCCCCCCTTTAGTTTATGACCATGTGTCTCAAGTTCTTTAGATTCTATATTTCCCATACTATTCTTGCCCCCCCATCAATTTTCTATCTACTGTCTATGCTACTTATTTTCTGTACCTTCTCCCTCCTTCTCCTTCTCCCACTCCCCTATTGCTAACCCTCCTTGAGATCTTCATTTCTATGTTTCTGCTCCTGATCTAGCTGTCCTCTTAGTTTGCTTTTGTTTTAGGTGTGGTTGTTAATAACTGTGAGTTTGCTGTCCTTTCACTGTTCAACTTTTTTTAACTTCTTTTTCTTAGATAAGTCCATTTAACATTTCATATAACAAGGGCTTGGTGATGATGAACTCCTTGAATTTGATCTTATCTGAGAAGCACTTTATCTGTCCTTCCATTCTAAATGAAAGTTTTGCTGGATAGAGCAATCTTGGTTGTAGGTCTTTGGATTTTGTGACTTGGAATACCTCTTTCCAGCTCCTTCTTGCCTGTAAGGTTTCTTTTGAGAAATCCGCTGACAGTCTGATGGGAACTCCTTTGTAGGTGACTGTCCCCTTATCTCTTGCTGCTTCTAGGATTCTCTCCTTCATTTTAATCTTGGCTAATGTAATGATGATGTGCCTTGGTGTGTTTCTTCTTGGGTCCAACTTCTTTGGGACTCTCTGAGCTTCCTGGATTTCCTGGAAGTCTATTTCCTTTGCCAGAACAAGGAAGTTCTCTTTTATTATTTGTTCAAATAAGTTTTCCACTGGTGGCTGTGCCTTTCCCCTTCTGGTACCCCTATAATTCGGATGTTGGAGCGTTTAAAGATGTCCTGGAGGTTCCTAAGACTCTCCTCATTTTTTTGAATTCTTGCTTCTTGACTCTTTTCTGTTTGGCCATTATTTGCTTTCTTCTGGTCCACTCCATTGATTTGAGTCCCAGTTTCCTTTCCATCACTATTGGTTTCCTGTGCAATTCCATTCATTTCAATTAGTTTAGCCTTCATATGTTTGTCTAATTTGTGGCTATAATCAACCAGTTCTGTGAGGATCCTGATCACCAGTGTTTTAAACTGTGCGTCTGAGAGTTTTGCTATTTCTTCATCGCTTAGATTTATAGGCTCTGGGGCTTTGAGATCTTCTTGAGCCATTTTTGGTCTATTTGCGCCCTTAAGTATGAGGAGCGGAGCCTTGGACTCTCAGGTCGCTGGGTTGTGACGCTATATGTGGGGGCATGGTCAGAGTGGGGAAATGGCGACTTCCTCTGCTGTTTCTCGCCGCTGGGTGAGGAGCAGAGCCTTAGGTGGTTCACCAGTGCGGGGCCACTCAGGTCACTGGGTTATAACGCGGTCAGGCTGAAGAATTTGTTGTTATCAGACTTCTGAAAAGTTCAATTTTCTGTGTTCTGACTGTGTTTTCTCTTGCTAATATTTAGTTGTCTCTAAACTTGGTTGTGAGAGAAGGCACAGTGACTCCACCTATGCCTCCATCTTGGCGGATGTCTAACTACCACATAGTCTCTTAACTGGCCTCCCTCTTCCAGTCTTGCCTTCCTATAATACATTCTCCATATAAGCACCAGAGTGATCTTTTATTTATTTTTTAAAAGATTTTATTTATTTATTTTTAGAAAGAGAGGAGGGGAAGAAGAAAGAGAGAGAGAGAAATATCAATGTGTGGTTGCCTCTCACTTGCCCCCTACTGGGGACCTGGCCTGTAACCCAGGCATGTGCTCTAGACTGGGAATCAAACCGGCAACCTTTTGGTTTTCAGGCCTGCACTAAATCCACTGAGCTACACCAACCAGGGCCAGAGTGATCTTTTAAAAGTTTAAATTAAATGTCAGTCTCCCGCTTAAAACTCTTCAAGGACTTCCAATTGCACTTAACACTGAAACCCATCCTCCTTAACATGGCCTGCAAGAGACCATACAATATGGCCTCTGCCTACTTCTTCAACATTTTGTTGTTACTCTTTTCCTTACTTTAAATTCTCCAGAGGTGTTCAAGGAGGCCAAGTTCTTTCCCAATGTGGAATCTGAAATATGCCCCCACACACAATTGTTTCCCATCCCTTCTTTGCCTGTACTTATCTTCCATGTTTCAGCCTAAATATGACTTCCTCAGAAAGGCTGATCATGACCCCGTAACACACACACATGCACACACAGTTTAAGTCAGGACTCTCTCTATTCAAATAACACCAAAGAATTTTTCTCTTTCACAGCACTTGTTCATGACTTGTACCTTTAAATTTGTATAATTTGTTTACTGTCAAATATTCCTTGCTAGACTCTTAGCTTCATTAGGACAAGAATTGTATCTGTCTTATTCAAAGTGAAGGGATTAAGAAGTACAAATTGGCAGTTACAAAATAGTGAAGAGGATGTAAAGTACAGCAAAGGGAATATACTCAAAATGTTCTAATAACTATGTGCAGTGTCAGATGGGTAGTAGATTTATCTGGGGGAACAGTTTGTGAAGTATATCATTGTCTACCCACTATGATGCACATGTGCAACTAATACAAAATAATATTAAGTGTAAGCTGTAATTGAAAAATAAAATTTAGGTAGAGAACTCTGCGAGGATGGAGGCATAGGTGGAAACACTGTGCCTTCTTGCACAACCAAGTTTAAAAACAACAAAGTTTTAGCAACAAAAACGCAGCCAAACCACAGAAAATTGAACTATACTGAGGTCTGACAATAATGAACCACTCAGCCAGACCAGTAAGAGGGGCAGAGCCAGCAGTGGAGCGGGGTTGGGCAGGAAAGATCTACCGGACTGACAGGCATGCGACCCAGACACGCAGGCAGCCAAGGACAAATCCCAGGTGTGGAGTAGCAACTGGTGGACCCACTGAGGGTGCAAGGTGGCAGGCTGATCTCGGTCACACATTTGCATGCCAATAAACCAGGTGGAGGAGCTAGCAGTGAGACAGATCACGCAGGCCCCAGCAGTGGGAAGCAGCAGAGGGGACCACCGTTGTCCCTTTCTGATCCCGATCCCACATACAGCGTCACAACCCAGCTACCTGGGCAGCCCCGCCCTGGTGAACACCTAAGGCTCCTCTCCTCATACTTAACAGGTGCGAACAGATCAAACCATGGCTCAAGGAGAACTCAGAGCCCCAGAGCCGATAAATCTAGGCGAACAAGAAATCGCCAACCTATCAGAGGCACAGTTCAAAACACTGGTGATCAGGATGCTCACAGAACTGGTTGATTTTAGCCACAAATTAGAGGAACATATGAAGACTAAACTAATTGAAAATGAAGGGAAACACACAGGGAACCAATAGTGATGGAAAGAAAACTGGGACTCAAATCAAGGGAGTGGACCAGAAGGAAGGAAAAAAATGACCAAACAGAAAAATATGAAGAAACCAGAATTTAAAAAAATGAGGAGAGACTAAGGAACCTCCAGGACACCTTTAAACTCTCCAACATCCGACTTAGAGAGATACCAGAAGGGAAAGAAAAAGAGCAAGTGGAAATCTTATTTGAACAAATAATAAAGGAGAACTTCCCCAATCTGGAAAAGGAAATAGACTTCCAGGAAATCCAGGAAGCACAGAGAGTCCCAAAGAAGTTGGACCAAAGAAGGAACACACTAAGACACATCATCATTACATTAGCCAAGATTAAAATGAAGGAGAGAATCCTAGAAGCAGCAAGAAATAAGGGGACAGTCACCTACAAAGGAGTTCCCATCAGACTGTCAGCGGATTTCTCAAAAGAAACCTTACAGGCAAGAAGAGGCTGGAAAGAAGTATTCCAAGTCATGAAATCCAAAGACCTACAACCAAGATTGCTCTATCCAGCAAAGCTTTCATTTAGAATGGAAGGGCAGATAAAGTGCTTCTCAGATAAGATCAAATTCAAGGAGTTCATCACCACCAAGCCCTCATTATATGAAATGTTAAAGGGACTTATCTAAGAAAAAGAAGATAAAAAAGATGAACAGTGAAAGGGCGGCAAACTCATGGTTATTAACAACCACACCTAAAACAAAAGCAAACTGAGGATAGTTAGATGAGGAGCAGAACCACAGAAATGAAGATCACAAGGAGGGGTAGCATCAGGGGAGTGGGAGGAGGAGAAAGAGAGAGAAGGTACAGAGAATAAGTAGCATAGATGGTAGGCAGAAAATAGATGGGGGGAGGGCAAGAATAGTATGGGAAATATAGAATCTAAAGAACTTGAGACACGTGGACATAAACTAAAGGGGGGAATGATGGGGAAGGAGTGTGCAGGGTGGAGGGGAATGAAGGGGGGAAATAGAACAACTGTAATGGCATAATCAATAAATTATATATTAAAAAAGAAAAAGAAAAAAAACTGTTGTACATCCAGGGCTTTTCATTTACTAGATGTTCAATATCTGTTAAATGAGCAAATTTTTCATAAAAGTCTTGTTCCAACCTTTTACCCTCATTTAGAAGATTTGACCACTAATATTCCTATAGAGAACAACCAGCAAGGATATTAAAGGTGGGATATTCTTTATGTCAAATGTTTTCTGCTTGATTTGAAAACACATTTCTTACCTGCTCATTTTTTTGTTTTTCCTGTAACTTAAGCTGTTCCAGCACAGAGTGCAAATGATTCTGGAAAAAAAAAGTATAAATGATACATGCCGAGTCTCAAAAAAAGGACCAAGAGAGACAAAGAGCGTGGCAAATAATTTGATAAGTAAGAAAACTATCATTCATAACAGAAGATTTTATATAGCCTACACAACATTTTATCTTGTCCTAAAATAAATGGTTGGAATGCCTTAGTGTTACATTGTTTTAGTTTAGCACAAATTCTTTGAGTGTGGTGAACTATTTAAAAAGGTGGCTTGGAACTTGCTGTTCACTCCTTCATTTTCCTTCACTTGAGTAGAATATTTCTTCTTAATTAGTATTGCATGCTGCGACAATCATAATATACCATATATCTGTATCTCTCAAAGTGTGTCCACATCCATTATCTATCTCACTTAGGTTTTCTAAAGGATAACACTTAGTAAGTACAGTTCCATGTCACTTTGCTCTCTTGTGATGACTACAGCTCTACAGAAAATGAAACCTGGCAAGGAATTCTCCACATACTTCTGAATTTCCCTCACTATGGAAAGGAAAACAAACATGTTGTAAACACACATTTTCTTTTTGTTAAAATTTGTATTAATAAAAATAAATGTAGATATTTATTCTTGTTGAAGGATGCATCATAAAATTTAAAAACAAATTTAGTTAATTCTCTTTCACTGCATACATTTTGGTACAAACAGGGTTCAGTCTATGCCCTACCATTTTCTGTGGTCCTTGGCATGTTACTTAACATCTTTGAATTTCAATTACTTATCTATAAAATGGGAATAGTGACAGTACCTAGATTTCAGAGATGTGAGGATGGAATGAGATGATTCATGTAAAATGCTAAGCTTTTTATGTGCCTTTCACATTAGGAAATGCTCAATATTGGCAATTATTATCTCGACTCTCCTGGCCCCTTCCCCAAAAATGCTTATATGAGATGATCAAAATTACTCAGATAAAAGTAAATGTAAATGGATTTTCGAACAGCTTGTTTAGCTTCATGAGTGAAGAAGAATGCTGCTCAGAGGGGATATGAGTGAAAACACAAGATGGGATTTTTAAAGTAAGATACCAAGATCTCATACCAACCAACAAGAATTTACCTTGAGTGTCAGGTTTTCCACTTTCTTGATGAGATCTTTCTGTCTTTGTGCTCTGCACTGAATCTCTTGGAGCTTTTTCTCCATATAATGAATATGCTTCTGAATTTCCATGACTAACAGAGATAGACAGAAACTTTATGTTTCTAAACACAGCTTAAACTAGTGGACTGAAATCCAAATCAACTAAAAGCCCACTACATATCTGAGCAATAACTTTTCAAACTTAGACTTGAATCTAATGTGTGTTTAGAGTCAATCTTTAGCATTACCATCCACTCTCTCCCATCCCATTGTTTTTTCTTCTAACTTACCTATTGAACTGGCTCCTTCCTTTGCCTCACACTGGCCAAATTCAATTAACTTGGCCTGTAACTCCCTTTGCAGATTCTCTTCATAATACTGTTCATCTTCTTCATTCTCATCATCATAGTAAAATTCCTCCTCCTCCTCATCATCAGTCTCGTCCTTGTCCTTATCATCATCACTGCTACCACTAGAATCACTGAGCATCTCCCGAAGCATATGATATTCTATTGGTTTTAAGGAGGAAGAAGGTGAAACTACCTGAAGCTTTTCAAATGACTCCCACTCCAGTTTCAATTCTACTCCTTCCCCTCCAATTTACTGGGCAACCAATGATTTTTATAAGTAATTTTTTGTGTTGGAAGACTATTCCCTTCAAAAAACAAGGACAGGAAATACAAAACACTGTAACATTCATTCATGTATTCAATTATCAAGATAGTTAGATAATCTAACTATCTTGGGCCCATAGGAATTTCAAATATGAGGGACCGATGGGAGATTACAACCCCAATCTAAAACCTACAAAGTGTGGAGGGACTAATAAGAGGAAAGAAGGGCAAAGCCATCCCTTTCCTGTAATTATCCTGTAAGAATATGGAGAATGGTTTTACACAGGGTCAACACCTACCCTCTCTGAATCTCCTGATGTACCTTTTTTAATGTACCTGATGAGCTATGATCCTGTTTATAGCCACTTGTTCCTGGGGATATCTCAAAGCTGGAAATGGAGTCTTTACTTTCTAGTTCCTTGGTTTCACCTTCAGCAACGACTTCCCATTCTAAAAGAAGGAGCCATCAAGGAAAAAGGCAGAAAGAAAGGAGAAGACAGTGTTGAAAGGGAAGAGGCTCTGCTGAAAGTGCTATTTATATTAATCCAACTTCAGAACTCTCTATCTAGATTCCTAGTATGGAGAAATGCCTTATATTAAACAAGTAAGTAAATATTTATTACATGAATTCACTGTTCCTAGGTAGAAAATAACATTTCCAAAAATGATATGTTCTATATATCAAAATCAGCACACAAATACCAGAAGTGAGGGCTTGTCAGCAAGTACATATAGGATGGAATAGACTATACAGAACATATTTAGTATAAAAGGATACGGACACTGACAGCTTCAGCATCAGAACACAGCAGTCTTTTTACTTCCTTTTCCACAACAGGCGACTCAGTGTACTGGACCAGAGTAGGGGCAGGAGGAATACCAGTAATGTCATTTAACATTCTGTGTTTCCCATGAATGCCCTTTTCCTACACACAAATAAATTTAAATAGTTAACCCTCTCTAAGATATCCATACAAATTTGTACTTTAAGTAATACTATTTATGAAGGAATCTTGACCAGGAACTAGAGTTTTGTATGGTAAGCTTATTTTTTTCCCAAATTACTTGAGACATTTAATCTTTTCAGACTGCAACTCTGTAAAAGACTTCTATCAGGGGTGCAGTCCTTAAGCCTCATTTATTACTTCCCCTGACCCACATTGGTAAATAACTATAATTCCTTATGTGTTATTTAGAATTAATTTGATTTAAAGATCCAAATTCTCAGATTCCACTTCCTCACATCTGTATTATTAGATGTTTTCCTATTTTAAAAAAGGATCTTAGCTATGTGTTCTCCTTTATATCCAGCTTTAGACAATTATCTCCACAGCAACTGATTCATCATGCCACAAATAGAAATTAAAACTTTGAGAAGAAATAAGCAATTACAAACAACTGCTAGTAAAAGTGAATCCTGGCTTCTAAGAAATGTTTTTTAAAATAAATATCAGACAAAAAAACAAATTAGAATACTCAGGGTCACTGAACAAACTGTCAATTTTTATCATTTCCTCTAGGAGTTATCAGACATTAAAAAATTAATTCATTTTTCAGTGAATCAAATTCAGTGTGTGTGTGTATGAGAGGGGAGTTAGAGATGAGAAGGAAGGCTTGAAAGTAACCTCTATGATTTCTTTGATTTGTTTGAAATTAATGAGCTATGAAATAAAACATACTAAGGGGAAACAATAAAGTTATGACTGCTCTACCTCAGTAAAGCTGACCTCTTCAACTTGCTTGAAATCAGCCCGCTATAAAATGAAACACAATAAACAATGAAGTTATAGTAAAATTGTCATACTTCACTAAAGCTTAAAGAGTCCTAAAACTATTTTTAACTTAGGTATACACATAGTAGGCATTCAATGCATGCTTTTGACATATAGTATAAAAGCCAAGGCAACCATGTTCATGGATTGAAAAATTAGTAAAGATGTAGATTCTCTCAAAACTAATCTATAAGTTCGATACAATTCCTATCAAAATTCCAACAAGGCTTTTCTACAGACATAGACAAACTTATTCTCAAATGTATATGGAAAGGTAGAGGCTCTAGAAAGGTTAAAGCAATATTCACAAAGAAAAATAAAGTGATAACAGCCTTTTTTAAAAAGTTTAATCTTTATTGTATTTTTCTATTACCATTTAATCCCCTTATAACACCTCCCCTCAGCAATCACCACACTGTTGTTCATGTCTGTGAGTCCTTTTTCCTTTCTGTTCAAACCCTCCACCCCCTACTCACCCCCACTAGGTGTCATCTGCTCTCCATCTATGAGTTGGTAACAGTTTTCTTGATTTTGTGACATTATATAGCTACATTGTGATGTCAGTGGAGAGATCAACACATAAATTAATGAAACAGAACAGGGAAACCAGGAAGAGACTCACACAAATATATCCAACCAATTTCTGACAAAGGTACAAAAGATATGCAATGCAGGAAGGACAGCTTTTTAAACAAATGGTACTGGAGCAACTCAACATGTAAAAACAAACAAACAAACAAAAAAAGAACCTTGAACTAAACATTGCACATTTTACAAAAATTAACTAAAAAATGAATTGTGCACTTAATTGTAAAATTCACAAGTTTTAGAAAAAAGACATAAGAGAAAATCTCCAGGATCTAGGCTGGGCAAAGAATTATTTGACTTGACACAAAAAGAAAAATCCTTAACAAAAAAATCAATAAATTGGATTTCATCAAACAAAAAATTTTTGTCCTTTGAAAGACCCTGTGAAGAAGATGAAAAGACCAGCTACAGACTGGGAGAAAATATTTGCAAACCAGGTATCTGACAAAAAATAGTATTTAGAACATAAAAATAACTCTCAAAACTCAACAATTTAAAAGAATCTATTTAGAAAATGTGCCAAAAGGCATAATAGACACGTCACCAAAGTGGATATACAGATGGTAAATATGCTCAAAAACATATGAGGATATGTTCAACATCATTAGCCTCAGGTAAATGCAGATTAATACCACAGCAATATCACTGCACATCTATCATAATGTCTAAAATAAAAAATAGTGACAATACCTAACACTGGTGAAGATAGAGAAGTTAAATCACACATACTTTGTTGGTGGGAATGTAATATGGTTCAGCCACCCTGGAAAACAGTCTAGAGGTTTCATATAAAATTAAATATGCAACTACCATATAAATCAGCAATCACACTTTTGGTCATTTATCCTTAAAAAATGAATACTTATGTTCACACCAAAACCTGCTCACAGTTTTATTTATAATAGTCAAAAACTGGAAAGAACCCAGATGTCTTTCAATGGGTGAACAGTTAAACAAGCTGTGGTACATTCATACCATGGAATTAGTAATAAAAAGGAATGAACTAGTCATACATGCAACAACTTGCCCAGTTTTTAAGGATAGGTTCCCATTTATATGACATTCTCAAAATAACAATATTATAGAGATAGAGAATGTGTTAGTGATTGCCAGAGGTTAGAGACTGACTGGGGGTGTAGAGTAGGTGGGAGGTGTGTGGTTATAAAAGGGCTAGATGAGGGATCCTTTTGGTGACAGAACTGTTTAGTATCTAGACTATGTAGGTAGATACCTGAACATACACATAGGATAAAACTGCATAAAACTAAACGTATTCACAGGTAATACAAGTAAACTAAACATACTCAAAGGAATACAAGTAAAACTTAAGAGATCTGAATAAGGCAAGTTAATTTTATTAATATCAATATCCTTTTGGTAATATTGTACTATAATTTTGCAAAAAGTTATATTGGGGAAAACTAAGTAAATGATACATGGTATATCCATTCTATTTCTTAGAACTGATATGACTACAATTACTTCAAAATAAAAAAATTTAATTAAAAAATAAAGCCAAACCACAGTATTTCTATAGCTTGCCCAAGGTTCTAAAAGTCTGAGGTAAGGTTAGGAATGTAACCACAGTTCTTAATTCTCAGGTTCTGGATGGGTTCGCTTTAAAACTAAATATTGCAATCGAAAACTAAAAACATTAGCAGAAGTTTCAGATTCAAGACATAAACAGGTCCCTAAAGAAGTAGTCTATAACCTCAAGGATCAGGGAGGTTTTTGTTTACTATATATTCCCAATTGTTAGCACACTGTGCCTAACATCTAGCTCACACTCAATAAATGTTTACTTAACATACAAATGAATGAACAGATTAATCCCCAACTGACTGTCTCTTTTTTCTCTACTCACAATACTTTTGCAATGCACCCAGTAGACACATAAATAGCATGCAACTAACCTTTTTTGATGTATTGCGGAACCTTTTCTTTCTGACATTCTTAAGTGGTGGAGTAACTAAAATAAATGTGACATGTGACATGGTGAAACAAATATAATACTGATGGCAGTCACATATCTATCTGAATTTGATAAGGAGAAAGTTCATGTTATATATTACTGGCTCAGAACATGACTCATTCCTTTAAGAATATCTAGATACCTAATGAACCAAACATGTAAGTGTGGTAAATTGGTCTCTGGCTCACAAGTATTAGGATTCAGCAGATACATGTAGTCAGCCAGAATGAGAGAAAGGGCTGGTGACTTACTGCCATGCTTCCAGGCATATTTCTTCTGTCTCGCCTTTTCATTTTTCTTGATATCTTTAAGATCAGTAGAGGTAACTGGTTCTTCAGGAGAAGAGTGAAGATCACCATCAGCAGTACACACAAGCATCTACATTTAATAAAGACAAAGAAGTTGACTATGGCTACAAATCTTGAGTTAGTAAAGAATCATGACCATTCTTACCACCAGATGCCCTAAAGATAGAAGCAATAATAATGTTATTTGGCATTTCCAGAAAACCAAGTATTACACACATTCATGTTCATTTTCTCTGTGTCTTGGCAGCTATATATGGACTCTGAGTAGGGTTTTTTTTTAGCTTGAGTGTTTACCAATGCAGAAAGAAATATGTTAAAAACAGATATATCCTAGCATTTTGCCTTGTAAAAGAAACACAAAATCAAGAGTAGAGATAATGAATAAGAGCCAGTGTAAATCTCCACAGTTAAAAGCACACAGCAGGAAGGTCAGAAGAAAATCCCAGATGCTCTTATTTTTCAAATAATGACTCACTATAAATGGCAAACCGGAGGCTCTAAAAGCTGTATGGATAAAATAAAATAGTGAAAAGTTCTGGATCAAACACCAAACCAGAACATGCCATTGTATTCTTGTGAAATTGAGCTAAAAATTGAAAATGACAAGCAGTTATTCACCAAGTGGAAAGGAGCACTGAAAGAAAGAGAAAAAGCAGGGAGAAAGGGATTTCTGAAAGGATGTGAGAGCTAGGAGATTAAGAAGACTGTCCATACCTGGGAAATATCTGCAGTTTTATAAAAGATTTTGTTGTCCAGAGTTTTCAGGCTTCCAATAGTGCAAGGCAAGTCAACCATCTTAGCAGTTAGTGAGACATCTTTCACCTCAACAGTTGCATGACGTCCATCAGCTGAAGAGACATAGGGAAGATTAAAGCTGACATAGTCCCAATGTAGTCTTAAACCTCCTAGGGTTTGAGTAATGAAGACTCATGGAGGACAGACTAGTCTTTCAGTGAAATCTACTGTTTCTCATAACCCTAGAATTGTGCATGAAATTAGTAACTCTCCAGAGAAAAGAAGGCAGAGTATACAGAGTGCTTGTTTTTTCTCAGTTTATGTCACTTGATCAAAAGTAGTGAATTTTCCTCATAATGGTTGTGAACTAAATGTAGATAAAGTAGTAAACGTTTAATTCTCATCCTGAAAGGCAAACTCCATTTATTCAAACCCATTCTTTTTGACAGCATAAGAAGCCATGTCATGATGTATGAGTGTTTTCAAAGAGTCGGGTGAGGGAAGGGTTGATCCTAGAAATGGTACTAATAAGTCTCAAGTTATAACCTCTAGTTAGCTTCAAAGAGATAAAATTCTACACAATTGCCACATACTGGAAGAAATATGTATATTAGATATATATGTGTGTGTATATACACATATACACACACATCACATATTGACAACTGATTCCTGTCCAGATGTCTCAAACATGGATATCTTTTAAGGATTCAAGTGTAATTAATCTAACAGTAAGTGGAAAAAAAAACATGCAGAATTGTGTATGAAATAATCCTTTTTGTATAAATTAACTTTAAAAACATACATTATTTAAATGTTGGTATGCATAAAAGTCTTTTCTGTAATGAATCACAAGTTTTGTCTGTAAATAACTAATATTAGTTACATTTGGCATTGATTTTGGTGCACTATGATGGAGACTTTCACTCCTCCTTTTGAACTTTTCTGTCTTATTTGAATTTTCTAGCCCAAAACTGGTACTGTCCTTTCTAAAAAAATGTCAATAGGGATTCTAGACTGATAGGGTCTAGACAAATAGAGTTTGGGCTGATGGACCATTTTTTTATTTCCTTCTTTATTTATTCTTTAAAGATTATTTATTTATTTATTTTTAGACAGAAGGGAATGGAGGGAGAAAAAGAGGGATAGAAACTTCAATGTGTGGCTACCTCTTCTGTGCCCCCCATTAGGAACCTGGCCTGCAAGCCAGGCATGTGCCCTAGACTTGGAATCAAACTGGTGACCCCTTCATTTGCAAGCCAGCACTCCAGCACTGAGCCACACCAGCTAGGGCTATTTCCTTCTTTATGTACTTCTCTGTACTTATTTTATTTTTAGCAAAAAGTTTTATGGAATAAATATGGGCATTATCATGTAAAATTATCTGAACAAAAGAACATTCTACAATAAAAAACCTTCTGCAGCTTTCAATGTGCAGTGGTTGATTCAGCTAGAATTGAAAGTAAAGTGACAACCACAGTTTAAATGCACATATACACAAATTTACAGTTGGCATAGGTTCTACTTCTCTGTTTTAGAAAACATAATAAACACTATTAAAAAGAGAAAGGTATGTCACCTTTGTAAACAAAGAATGATACTTTCATTTGTCATAGTCAGAAATCACAAAGCTTTATGTGTAAGAGACAATCAGCAATATGCAAAGCCCACAGTTGATCCCCAAGTTCTTCTTTATACACACTGATAATTAACTCAAGTTGCATAATATCTATTTCCTTTCCTCTTAAAAGAAGAGATAAGAGTGACTTAAGCCTCTCTTAGAATCCATCAAGACAGAGACCACATTCTAGTCTTTGTCACATTCTTAGTATGGAGTAGAGCACCTGGCACAGAGAAATCCCTTAATAAATTACTGCTCAGTGTATGGTGAATGAATATTAAGTACTTACAAGATAAGTCAATTTTTAGTTTATCCTTCATGGTGACAGTTCCAGAGTGTATCATTTCTCTGACAGTAGCAGCATGTTCCTAAAAAGGAGGTAAACTGACAAATCAGAAAATGAATTGACTACTTGGCAGATAAGAGAAGAGGTATGTCACAGTCCTCCTGAAATTAACCATCAAACCTCCCAAACATTAGGAACAATGCCATGTACCATGAGATACCATGCATTGTGCAAGTCAAGTTAGGATAAGGCTGACTCTAAACTCATTGTCTTTTAGTAGCTACTGTTAATGCCTTCTCCCAGCTCTATATTCCTGCCTCTCGCTGCTGCCCTCAGTTCTAGTTATTAAGGAAAGGCTTAGCTGCAGTTTACTGAGTACATTAATTAACCATATTTGGGGAAATAGTTTTCTGAAACCCATCCTTAATATAGGTTTTTTAGACTAAATACTACTTGAATACAATTCTCAATGTGGGGGGGGGAGCAGGGAAGAACCTAACACAATGTGGAGAGGAGCTTCAACAGCCTTGCATGGTGATGAATTTGCAGACAGTGCTGGTCCTTCTCACTGGTCCTTCTGAGGTGACAAAGGATTTTAGATTTTAGAAGAGTCTTAAATTGGATGTCCAAAGAACAGTCTGTTAGTATCTGTGATAAGTTACCAAATCCATCGTTACAGCTGTTTGCCAGGAAATCAACCCACATGATAGGTAGCATATATAGGACAAAAGAAATGCTTCTAAAAGAGTACACACTAGGATGGGGTTGCTTAATAGAATATGATTCCTGGGAAACAAATGTTCTCAGTTTTTATAGCCTACCTTAAATAGAAATGCTACGGATTCCAAACAGAGCTAATATTTATGCACTGAAGATATTTTCTCTGAGATACAAAAGTTTCTTACCTGAGGCAGACGCAATATAAACTGGTTCTCAATTTCGTAAGGAGGTTCATGCTGGCTTTTATTCATATCTTGTTTTTGAGTTCATGAAAATAAAAACAAAACCAACAAAAAGTCACCAAAAACTCCTCTTCCTTCCCTGGTTGATAACTTCTGGTAGTACTGGTTAAATTATACAATTTTTTTGTCCACAATCTGCACTGGAATAGTGTGTGTGTGTGTGTGTGTGTGTGTGTGTGTGTGTGCAGTTCTGAAATACCTTATTTGAAATAACTTTATTATTTCTAAAGGTGACTTTATCTTTCCCACAATATGTGAAGATTTTCAAAAATTAATTCAAATAGCAAGATAACAAAGTCAAAGCTGGTATGTAGCACGATTTAGTGTTTTTAATCATATTCTTAGACTCCTAAGTAAAGCACTACAATTTCAGCAACATCGAGGGGGAAACTGAAAAAAACTACATGCCTCTGCATAGATAACACCAACCAAAGTCCAATATCAAATCCAAAATAACTGGCAGAAGTGTTTTATAATGATTAAAAGAAAACAAGAACTAAATTTTCAATATTTCATCCACCTTAATGGATTGGTAGGAATTAAATATGATCATGGGAGAGCAGGCAGTATTTTATGACTCTAGAGCCAGCATAAATAGTTCATAGCTACTTTCAGAAAAGTCAAGTTCTTATAATTAGGCTATGTATTGGAATACACCTAACTTCATAGAGTAGACACATTCCTGAAGGGTGATATGAAAAAAGGTAAACTCCAATTTATTGATTGCTAACATTTACTGTGTGCATTCTATGTGTAAGAACTATATTAGGAATGTTAGGTCTATTATTTCTTATAAGCTACATAACCACCACTTATTTTAAATACCCCTAAAAACTTTTAAAGAAATCCTAAAATGGATCCCTTTATATATTAAAAAAGACATCTTCTGTAAATTGAATAATCCTCTCCAAGTTAATCTTTGTGTTTCATCTTATTTTCCATCTATTTGGGATATATCTAAAGTGATTTATATTTTGGGTTTTTGTGCCTACACTTCTGAGGAACTTTTTCTCAAAAGTGGAAAGAAAGCAACGCATGAAACTTGACAAACTTTTCTTAGGTTCTATGGACATTATACCATACACCAAGTTATAAAATGTTATACATATACCTCACAGTAAATTAATTTATATCTTGTATTATTCTGTAAACCACTAATTGGGGTCTGAGTTTTGAACTTGAATATCACTTAAAAACACTGGAACCTTTCTTTAAAAACATGTACAAGTTAGTCTGAGACCCTATTATGGTGAAATCACTCACCAGTTACAATTTCAGTCCTTTAGTGTGACTTCGGAAACTACCAGAAAGTCATAGAAAGCATAAAAGAGGCCAGCAGTGGAAAGGCAGACAGCCAGGATGAGACAGAAAAAAAGATAGAGAGGTATTGATTATTTGTGATAATCATTTTTTTCTTTCTGCTTCATACAGTTATATACATACAGTGTAAACATAAGGGGGAAGTTAATTGAAATGAAGTATATAAATTTAAAAATCTTGGGACTGGGAAGATTTCATTACAGTACAAAAAGTATCCAACACTTAATATTGTTAGCAGAACTACAGATACTTGAAGAACTAGCTGCTAAGCAAGATTTTATCAAATCAGTAGTAACAATTTAGATTTCTCAGCAGAATTAAGACTAGGACACTTTGTTCATTTCAATTCCTTTCTCTCAACTTCTGTTTTATGAAAGAAAGAATGTAAAAACAAAAACTTTTAGAGAAGGTTGACAATCCTGGTTGAAATTTTAAATAGTTTTCAAAGTTTGTTACCTTCATTTATCCAATGAACTGGTTGTATAGTATTTAAAAAAAGACATCCACTTCTTTCTAGCAAGCACTGTTTGATACATAATTACATTAACGGGACCTCTCTCCACCATCTACTTCCCAGCTCCACCTCGCGTCAGTGGAATTAGATTTGTAATTAGAATTACAGCGAGGTGAAAGGCGAATGACAACGTGCTCCAAGCAGCTCAAGTCAGCATCAGCCAAAAATTGGCATTTTCTCATGCTCATAGCCGCTAGCTGCAGTGTGGAGGCAATGATACCTCCATCCTTATCCCTGGGGCACTAAGCTCCCGAGGCTCCTAGACTTCGAACGAATTTCCCTGGAAAATCAAGAGGTCCTAGCCTTTGAGCCTCGTGGTCCAAGCTGCCAAGAGAGGGAAGGACTGTGCGCTGACCCAAGGCGCTGACCCTCCCCGGGACCCTCTGCTTGGCCGCTTGGCCGACTCACCAGCTCCACCGCTGACTCCCGCAGGCACCGGTAAGGCCGGGTGGGAGGAACCCGCCTCTCCGCCCCTCTGGCTCCGAAGGGGGCGTGAGTGGGCTTCTGGGTGGCAAGCCATGTAGACTGACGGTGCGCGGAGGACTGTGCCGGGGCAGGTAGCAGCCGAGCTCACAGTTCCTCCCCGCCTCGCCACGCCTCCGGGGCCGCCTGGACCAACTGACAGGCCAGTGGCCTCGAGTCGAGGCCAGGTCGCCGCGTGCTTGGGGCGGGGGGGGGGGGCGGTGGGCACGGCAGGAGTGAGGGTGGAGTTGGCGGTGGAGGTGGAGGTGGAGGAAAGACTTGAGGGATGCTAAGTGGAGCGGGAATGCGGCAGCTCGGGTATCTCACACGGGGGCGACCTTCTGAGTGGCCACAGGACTTTTACCAGTGCACAGCACTGGTAAAAAGGGATGCTGTGCACTGGTAAAAGTGGTGGCACATCCGGTTGCTCCTCACCTACTAACAAATACGCCGCCCCTGAAACCATTAAATAACTGGAATCGGTGCCCAAGCTACTCTAACATATTAGCCAACCCCTTTCTTCCATAGAGTCATTATCATTATTTTACATCTTTTGAACAGGGCCTTACTTCTCCTAACAGGGATCCCACAGTTAAAATAAACTTCTCTGTTTATTTTATCCTTAACTTGTAGGGGGAAAAACCGTTAAGCCACTTACCTATCCCTTCCATTAAGTTTCCCGGAAGAGATCTGACATCTGCTTGGGCACCATGGCCGGCAGGAGTTGAGGTGCTTTGGTCACCCACAGTTTCAGTGTCAAAGTCATCAGAACTTTCATCTTCAGAGTCCTCAACAATTTGGGGATCCTGAGAACTCATGATTTCTGATTTTGAAGTTGTTGGTGTTGAGCCACTTCCCGACATATGAGATACCCCCAGGATCTACCTACTTGAGGTACTAAAATGGCTCCCCGTTCAGTCACGTGACCTGAAAAGTTCCAGTACTTTCATAAACTGATGTCAAAGGTTTCCTCCTTAAAGACATAGGGATAAGATTAGCATGCCTGTTAGAGATTATAGCCACAAAGTTTCTACTGCTGAACAGTTGTCTAAACTTAATTGTAAGGAATAAAATATTTTGGGAAGACAAATGGTTGTATAATCATTTATTCTGGATAAGTGATTTTTTTTTTTATTCAATGAAGCTAAATTACCAGAGCTTCAAACCTAAACAATATCGTTTTGGTCCCTTTTAGAATATATCCACTTAGGTGTTACATCATACAACTACTGTATCAAGGGTTATAATACAAAACACACCAGTGAAATTTTGCTTTCATTTACTCTATAATACTTGTGAAGGCATTTATTGCATAAAAATAATTTTTAATAGTAACTCAAAGAAAAGTTATATATTTTGGCAACTAGGATAGTTGAGTAATTGTGTGTTTTGAATCATATGGACAATGTGAATTGAGTAAATAACTTTCCTTATGATGTCTACTAGGATGCTCAGAACCCATTTGCCAATCCACCTCTAAAAACTGTGAACCTTATGTTGATATTTTTTATCTTAAATAACCAGTCTTTCCCAATTTCCTAATTATTTTTATCTTGTGTAGTAAGTAATGCTGAAAGCTTCTTAAAAATCCTTTAAGTTTTGAAGACTTTAAAAGGAGTATTAGGTATAAATATTTAGATAACTTTAAAATATGGTTCTTACAGAAGCATCCCTATGGGTGGAGGAGAGGAGCATAATGACCTCACTTATAAATTCAATCACCTAAAAAAATGTTAATTGACAATCTAATATTTCAGGCTTGATTTGAATTACTTATTAAATTCTTAAAATATGGTAAGAATTTCATGAAAGGAGGTGAAACTTAAGATATAGGAAAATGCATATGTAATTTTTCTTCGTTACCAGATTTCCAGCACCTTCTTAAGAAAGAAGGGAATAGTCCTGGCTGCTGTGGCTCAGTGGATATATTAAATGAAATATATTAAATGAAACAAAACAAACAAAAACAGAAACATAATAACATTTTACCCCAGTTTGTGGATTATTTCATATTCTTGATAATTTCTTTTAATGCACAAAATCTTTCATTTAAAGAAGATTTTATTTATTTGTTTTTTGAGAGGGGAAGGGAGGGAGAAACAGAGGGAGGGAAACATCAATGTGTGGTTGCTTCTCACGTGCCCCCTACTGGGGACCTGGCCTGCAACCCAGGCACGTACCATAGACTTGGAATCTAACCAATGATGCTTTGGTTCACAGGCTGGCACTCAATCCACTGAGCCACCTCAGCCAGGGCACAAAATCTTACTTTTGATGGCATCCAATTTATTTCTGTTTGTTTCTTGTAACTTTGATGTCATATGCAAGAAATCACTGCCGAAACCAATGCCATGAAGATTCCCCCTATTTTTTTTTCTAAGAGTTTTATACTTTTGGGCCTTATATTTAGGTCTTTGATCCATTTTGAGTCACTTTTAAAAAATATGGTGTAAGGTAAGGGACCAACTTCATTCTTCTGCATGTGGATATCCTATTCCATTTTCCAAAATCAGTTGTTGAAGAGATTGACCTTTCCCGTGTTGAATGATCTTGCCATCTTTGTGAAAGATCAATTAATCATTTATGCAAGAGTTTATTTCAGGAATCTTGATTTCATTGGTCTATACGTCTGTCCTTATGTTAGTACCACACTATTTTGATTGCCATATAGCTGTGTGGTAAGTTTTAAAATAAAACAGTGCAAGTCCTCCAA